TGGCGTCCTTCTATTGAGTATAATTAAAGTTTGAATAAAACTTGTCCTCATCATAATTATTTCTTTTTTTTAAAGATTTTTTATTTATTATGTATACAATATTCTGGCTACATATATGCCTGTGTACCAGAAGATGGCACCAGATCTCATTACAGATGGTTGTTCACCACCACATGGCTGCTGGGAATTGAACTCAGGACCTTTGGAAGAAGAGCCAGTGCTCTTAACCTCTGAGCCATCTCTCCAGCCCATAATTATTTCTTTTATGGCTCTTTGAAATAATATATTATGGGAGTGGGGAAGGGTCTCACTGTATAGCTCTGGCTCTCAGCCTGGCTTTGAATGCACAGAGTGCCTCTGCCTCCCAAGTGCTGGCATTAAAGGCGTGCTCCATTATGCCCAGACACAATTCTTTTTGTTTCGTATTGATCTACCTGTGTACCTCCAAAAATTATTCTATTCTTTAGACTTCTTTGTGTGAGATGTGTTTTTGAGATAAACTTTTGAATTTGATCTCAAGAGTGAATCTGAGGCATTCCTTGGTTGGCTGGACTCTGCTGTGTAGATTTCCATTCCCTTTCTCTGTTCTTTTTCACGCGTGAAGACCCTGGAGTAGAGAGAGAGAGAGAGAGAGAGAGAGAGAGAGAGAGAGAGAGAGAGAGAGAGAGAGAGAGAGACCCAGCCCAGAGCTTGCTGGAGGCCGCAGTGGAGCGGCGAGGCCAACACTGGCCCTGGGAATTATGACTCAAGCTTTTCTGCTCCCAAGACAGATCTTAATTTGTAATTTCCTCTACCTTCTTTGCCTCTAGTTGTCCAGGCAGTCTTCTTACGGCAAGTCCCGGGTTCTTTTTATTGCGTTTATTTATTGTGTGTGCATCTGGGGGTGCACTTGTGATACAGCGTATTGTGTAACTCAGAGAATTGGTGCTCTCCTCCCACCGCGTGGGCCACAGGAGTTGGACTCAGGCTGACTGGTGCAGACACTGGCCAGGGCTCTGGGGACTCAGGCTGACTGGTGCAGACACTGGCCAGGGCTTTGGGGACTCAGGCTGACTGGTGCAGACACTGGCCAGGGCTCTGGGGACTCAGGCTGACTGGTGCAGACACTGGCCAGGGCTCTGGGGACTCAGGCTGACTGGTGCAGACACTGGCCAGGGCTCTGGGGACTCAGGCTGACTGGTGCAGACACTGGCCAGGGCTCTGGGGACTCAGGCTGACTGGTGCAGACACTGGCTAGGGCTCTGGGGACTCAGGCTGACTGGTGCAGACACTGGCCAGGGCTCTGGGGACTCAGGCTGACTGGTGCAGACACTGGGCAGGGCTCTGGGGACTCAGGCTGACTGGTGCAGACACTGGCCAGGGCTTTGGGGACTCAGGCTGACTGGTGCAGACACTGGGCAGGGCTCTGGGGACTCAGGCTGACTGGTGCAGACACTGGCCAGGGCTCTGGGGACTCAGGCTGACTGGTGCAGACACTGGCCAGGGCTCTGGGGACTCAGGCTGACTGGTGCAGACACTGGCCAGGGCTCTGGGGACTCAGGCTGACTGGTGCAGACACTGGCCAGGGCTCTGGGGACTCAGGCTGACTGGTGCAGACACTGGCCAGGGCTCTGGGGACTCAGCAGCAAGGCTGCCCACATTACCGTTTTTTTCATTGGGTCTATCCTGGAAGTTATCCAGTCCCTTGAGCCACAGCTTCCTCATTTCTGAGAGAGGTGTCATGCCTGTAAAATTGTGCCTAGGAACGAGCTGCCTGTTGAGCACTGTTAGCAGTGCAGTCAGGGCTGACCGCTTGTGAACAGTTGTCTCCAGGAGTTAGAGATAAGTGAGTGAGCCATTATGTGGCAGTGAGCAGGTGTTCTGACTGGCCATTTATGGAGACAGATGTGGAGAGATAGGAGAAGTTTGTTCCTCATCCTGCAGGGACTTAAGTGAAAGACCCCTAGGAGGTCTTTTTTTTTTTTTTTTAGATAAAACAGTGATTTATTTTTTTCGGATATTTTAAGTGTAAACTCCTTCATCAAATAAAAATTTGAATATACAATGTATATGTACAGCATCAATCAGTGACTTAGAGGTGGTTGCTCTTGAACCAAGATTTGGAGCCCAGTGAGGGCTTAGCAGGCAAAGAAGGGGGAAGTGCATTCCAAGGAGTACAAAGCCTCTCTAAGGACTAGGCCTCTGGTAAAGTTCCTGCTGGAGGCGAAAGGAAGGGGAGTGGATCCTGGAGAAATGTTAGACAGGCTTTTAAGAAAAGGAAGCCTTTTATAGTTCTGATGAGGTCTCTAGAGGAAGGGCAGGCCTTTGACTTGGCTGAGCATCGGCCTGAGAGGGTGTTACGTTCTGTTGTAAGGAATTCAGTGGGAGCCAAGAATGGTTCCCACCCGGGCCCCCTGCGGTGGAATCTGAGTACACTCCCTGGAAACCCACCTGCTGGCCTGGCCGTGGCCCTGAATTCCACTTTCAGAGGGAAATGATCCCATTCCTTTCTAACCCTGAATATGAAACAATGAAGAAATCACTGCGTTCTCCCCTAGCAGAGAACACAAGATAAAAGGTGTACCTAATGCAAAGACACACCCTATATATAGACGCTGATAATAATTGCAAGGGTGTAAAATTGCAGAAAAATCAAAAGCTCAGTTGGATGTAAAGGATTTTTCCCCTGAGACAGGGTTTATCAGTAGTCCTTATTATAATAAAGCGAGTGAGGGACCTTGGTGGATTCCATGGCGGGCGAGGAGGACCGACAAACATTCCAGGCAGACAGAGCTTAGTGAGAAGTTTTATTAGAAAGCTGAGGGAAGGGGGAAGGAAATAAAAGAGGTAAAGAGACACAGAGACAGAGAGAGGACAGAAGAGGGAGACACGAAAAGTCCTGTCTGCCCCAGGGGAGCCCTGGGAAAGAGAGCAAAGTGGGCGGCATCTCTCTTTTAAAGAGCCAGGGTACATACACCTGACATGCTCAGGTGGGTGAGAGGCGGGGCCAGGTTTGCCTGAAATACTACAGCCCTGGCAGTCCTGGAACTTGCTCTGTAGACCAGACTGGCCACCTGCCAATGCCTCCCCAGTTCTGGGATTAAAGATGTGAGCCACCAACACTTGGCCTAAAGGATTTACTTGTATCCAGTATATTAGGAGTTTATTTCTGTGTTCAGAAGACATTGGGGTAGATAAGATTCTTCATGTCCTTTAATCATTCAGACACCCTTATGAAGTGAGTAATTGTCCCCAGTTTATGCAGGTGAGGACACTGGGATCTGGAGGGGCCCTAACAGCCTGATGCCATTATTATTATTTTAGAAAGCTTTTTTAAAGAAATATTTTTATTTGTTATGTATACAGTGTTCTGCCTGCATGTATCCCTGCAGGCCAGAAGAGGGCACCAGATCTCATTACAGATGGTTGTGAGCCACCATGTGGTTGCTGGGAATTGAACTCAGGACCTCGGGAAGAGTAGTCAGTGTTCTTGACCTCTGAGCCATCTCTCCAGCCCCCATTATTCTTCTTTTAAGATTTATTTTTAGTGTGAATGTGTGTGTGAAAGTGTGCACATGTGCATGGAGATGCCCACAGCGGCCAGAGGACAGAGCTGGATTCATAGATGTTGTGAGCTGCCTGACGTGGGTGGGGGCAACAGCACTTGTCCCCCCATCCATATATGAGCTGGTCCTTCTGATCTGGGATGGGTAGCTGCAGAGGATTACTGCAGCTAATTATTTCATTTAATTACATCCTGAACTAAATAAGTATTAGTGTAGGGGTGTCTTGCCTTTGAACCTGTAACAGTGGCCACAGCCCTTTGAGCTTCAGGTGGACGGAAGCGGAAAGAGGGAGGTGTGATCTTGCTTGTGCACTCTTTCTCTTGGGTCAGCTGATTTGACAGGAAGGACAGAGAAGCGCTCCTGTGGTTCTTTATTATGATCTGTGTAAGTGTTCCCCAGTAAACAATCCATTTTTCATTTAGCTTGGGTCTGGTGAAATCATTACACCGTCGCCTTCATTCACTACCCCTTAGTCACTGTCCAGTCAAGGACTGTTTTTCACGCCCCAATCTTTGCGCTGTCTGTCTTTGTCTGGCTGCACTCTTTCACCAGAAGCATTATGCCTCTGCCTCCTTCAGCAAACACTACCGCGTGCACCGCTACAACCGGCCACTCTGTTTCCTTTTAACCACCTTACCCTTTTTCTTTTCTCTCCCAAGCCTACATATATTTTTTAGAACACGGTAAACCCTTTAGAGGCTTTCATCTGAGTCTGTCTTTACTGTGTATCTCTATCCTTCTCTGGCTACTTGTCTTTTATCCGCTGAAGACCATGGCTAAAGTTTGCAGAGGCTACTGGGCCATTTTTTGCCAATTGAGCCGAGTGAGGAAGCCTCCCTGAAAGGAGCCTCGAGCCTTTGGTTGTCTCTAGCAAACAGAACCCACCCAAGAAAATGCTACTACCAAGAAGCCACGCTTGACTTGGTTCTTTTGTTTCTAAAACCCCTCTTTAAGCTTTTGTCAGGTTCTGTGTGGAAATTCATGCCTCACATCTGGGCATCATTTTGTTGCAGGAGGTTCTTTCCCGCCAGCCTGGTCCTGCAGCTGCCTCAACCCCAAGTAAACACATGGGTGCTATATATTAATTATAAAACTGTTAGCCGGTGACTAGGGCTTCTTATTGGCTGGCTCTGTCTTAATTATTAACCCATAACTACTAATCTGTATTTCCACGTGGTCTTGGCTTGCCAACCCTCTACTCCTTAGGCAGCCTGTATCGTGACTGGCTTTGGTGGGCTCCCTCTGCCTATCTTTCCCAGAATTCTCCTTGTCTTCTAGTCCCGCCTACCTTTCTGTCTTATTGGCCAAAGCATCAACCAATAAGGGAAACATATATACAGAAGGACATCCCTCAATCATATTAGCTGTATCATATGTAATAACTTTCTCCCATTTCTTTAACCCTTTCCGTTGTGAGTAGATAATGACATAGTCTCTTGTTTTTTGTTTTTTAAGGTTAAAAACGTGTCTGCAGGCACACAAGACATGCCTCCCCCGCCATCTGAGTATGCAGAGAGAGTGGACAGTCCGATGGCGTATTCCTCTAATGGCAAAGTGGATGGCAAGCGATCATACCCGGAGTCTGTCTATAAGTCGACACCCTTGTAAGTAGCACTTTAGTTTGGTAACGTCTGTCTGAGAGGAATGTTGGCCCATCGCTTTGTGCCTTCCTCCCTTACGTTTTGAGTCACCAGGCCGAGAAGCGACAGAACCGCTCTGCTTCCTGTTGCGGTGATCTTTGCTTGGCCGTGTGGGATGAGGAGGGTGAGACCCCTCCCTTTCATCTGCTAATTGTATGCAAAGGTTAGGTATGTGGATTTTCACTAGGAGTGGGGTTCAGTGTTCTGCTCTGTGGTGATACATTATTTATGATTGCTAAAGCTTCAAGCCAAAGATCAGAGAAGCAAAGCAGCCAAGCCAGGAGATCTTACCTCTACCCAGCTGAGATGACAGTCCTGTCTCCATGCATTCTCAGAGGCAAAAGGCTCTGAATTCCTGTCTCCTCCTCTTTATATTCCTTTCTCTGCCCTGTCTCCACCTCCCTAGTGATGGGATTAAAGGCCTGTGATCCCAGGTGCTGAGACCACCTTTGTGTGATCTCTTTCTTTAGGACTGGGTCAATTTCTGTAGTCAGTGTGGCCTTGAAGCAACAGAGATCTACCTCTTAATCCTGAGTCCTGGGTTAAAGGTGTGTGCTGCCACTCCCTGGCTAGCTAGTGTGGCTTGTGGCTGGCTTTGCTCTCTGAATCCTCAGGCAAGCTTTACTATATCATGAATACTACATCACCGCAGTGCTCGGAAGTGAGTATGGAAGTTAACTGGGCAGAGGTGTGTGCGCCACTTAGGTGTCTCCCTTCGTCTGTGATTATTAGGTTTCATAGACAGGAAAAGTTGCATGTTAATAGGGTCTGACCACACACATGCCTGGTAAACTAGAAAACGCTGAATTTTGCTTATTCGTCTGTTTTTCGCCGTTTAACAAAACATCCAAGGCAGAGTTCCTGGGTACCCTCATAGTTGGGGAGGGAAGGACACTGCTTGGCTCTGGTGAGGAGCTTCTGGTGATGGCAGTGTAATGGCAGGGGCACCTTTGGGGTCAAGAGAGAGCGAGGCACAGGCTGAGATGGACCTCAGGCCTCTTGAAGGGAAACACTAATCTTAGTGACATCAGAAGCCTCCCAGTGGGCTCCACTGCTTGAGGGCCCACAGTCATACCAGACATCACCGTCTTAAGGATGAAGCCTGGCATAACTAAATGCAGGGAGGATACACTGGGACCACCTCCAAACCTTAGCACTTCCTTTATGCTTTCCATGTTGTTGGAATGTGTGAAACCTCACAGTTAAGATGTGCCAGTTCCCCATCATACTCCTCTAACTGCCTTGAAGTAACTAATAATTTAATGTATATCACCATCTATTAGTTTAATTTTTAAAAAAGTAAGATTTATGTTAGGGGTGAATATAATCAAAATTTATTGAATGAAGTTATCAAAGAAATAATAATTCTCTAATAATATTTTTAGAAAGATTTGTTTTCAGTTACCTGTGTGTGTGTGGGGGCGTAGGTTGTGCAGATGAGTGCAGGTGCCCGTGGGGGCCAGGCGTCAACTCCTCTGGAGCCGGCGTGACAGATGGTTGTGAGCTTCCTGATGTGGGTCCTCTGGAAGAGCAGCAAGCACTTTTAACGGCCGAGCCATCTCTGCAGCCCCGGATGTTGTTTCTTCTCCTTCACTAGTGCATGTCATCAGAAAAGGAGGGCTCCTGTAAACAATCTGTTTTCAGTTCCGCATTGTCTTGAATACCAGCCGTTCATACAACACCGGGCAAGGGCTCCTTCATCTTCATGTTTTCAGAGTTTGCCAGACAAAGGCAGGCAAAATGCAGAGCACTTGCTCAAAGGCCACAGCAGGGGTAGCGAAGGCAGGTGAAGGGAGTGTGTCAGGATGAAGACTGAGTTCCAGGTTTACAAAAATGACCCTCTACAAAAGACAAAGTGAGCTGGGCGTGCGGCGCACGCCTTTAATCCCAGCACTCGGGAGGCAGAGGCAGGCGGATCTCTGTGAGTTCTAGGCTAGCCTGGTCTACAGAGCCAGTTCCAGGACAGCCAGGGCTACACAAAGAGAAACCCTGTCTTGAACCCCCTGTTCCCCAAGTCGACAGTCTCTTTAAAACCTAAAATCTCTTTAAAAAGTCAGTCTCTCAACTGTGGGCTCCAGTAAAATAAACAATAAGTTGAATACTTCTTTACTTCAAGAAGGCAATGCCAGGACAGAGTTACAATCAGATCAAAGCAATGTCTAATACCTGGGGTTCACTCATGGTCTTCCTGGCTCCTCCTCCAGCTTTGCCCTCCGCAGCATATACACTTTGTCTTCTGATCTTAGGCAGACTCTACTTCAAGGCTCTGCTGTTCTTGTGGTCATCCTGTGGTGCTGGCATCTCCAAAAAGCTGGCATCTGTGCCTCAGCTGGCTGCGCCTTCACCTCTCCTAGGCACTCTTCGTGGTGCCGGACCTCAGCTTCCCTGCACGATCCCTTCAGTCCTAGGCCTTTGACCGCTATGGAGTCTCTCCTGGCCTCTCACAGTGCCAAGCCTCAAATGTTTTCCATGACCCCTCCATGCCTTCAAAACCAGCACCACCTGGGTGACTCTTACACTACCAAGTTCAGCTGCCAGCATGAGGTACAACCATGGTCTCCTCTGGAACACAGCTTCTCTGTGCTCTCTGGAAACATTTCCCTGAAGATATTACCTCAACGATTGCCGGCCTACTTTGTCTGTCTGTCTGTCTGTCTGTCTGTCTGTCTGTCTGTCTGTCTGTCTGTCTGTCTGTCTTTTCTTCCTCACCACTAATTTCTCAGCTTCAGCTAGCCAGCATTGATGAGCCTGGTAAAACAAAGGTTTCTCTTTAGTGCTTCAGGTCTCTTGCTAATCGCAGCCAATTCTTCATCCCTGACTGACCAGAGCTACAGCTTCTTCACACAAATGGCCTGAGTCTTTGCTTTGCTTCCCTTTGAAATGTCACAAGTCAGGCGTACCCATCTGCTCTCAATCTTCGAATCTCCAGGGGAGCAGCTCACTGAGCTGTCAAACAATGACTTTTCTAAAGACCTCCCCAAAACAGCATGGTCAGGTCTGTCACAGGAATATCCCACTATCCTGGTACCAACTTGTCTTAGTTAGGGTTGCTATTGCTGTGATTAAACCCCATGACCAAAGCAACTTGGGGAGGAATAGGACTCATTTGGTTTACATTTCTTCATCAGTGAAGGAAGTCAGGACAGAAACCAGGACGCAGGAGTTGATGCAGAGACCCACAAATAGGCTAACCATATTCAGAAGGTTTTATTTGAAGCCTGGCATGGGGGTTCATACCTGTAGTCCTAGCCCTTGGGGAAGTGGAGGCAGGAGGATCAAGAGTTCAAGATCATTCTCAGCTGCATTGTGAATTTGTGGCCAGGGTCACACAATACCCTGTCTCAAAAACAAACAAAACCCTTCAAAACAAAGGACAACAACAAAGTCTTGCTTTACTGTCTCAAAGTAAAAAAGCACATACAGTAGCTGGTATTGTGGGTAGATTGTTGGAGAACTTGTTAATCATTGACACTCATGGCAGAGTAGCATTAGCATAACACATACATTGGCTGAATCTTTTTAGACAGAAGAAATAAATACCGCCACCCCCGTTTCCCCAACTGCATATCCATTCCCGAAGCTTTAGGGTTAATAGAGCTTTAAGTGTGATTAGAATGCTAAGGCCCTTACGATAGTGAGAGCCAAGTAGCCCTAGAGACCAGTAACCCTGACGGATAAATGCTCAGCTTCTGGATTCTGTAAGTTGGAAGCGATAGGAGGGGGAAAGGGGCTGGAGATACAGCTCAGTGGATGAGTGCTGCCTGCCCAGCATTCATGAGGTCCCAGGTCCAACCCTCAGCATCAACAGTGAAGGAAAACAAAAAGTGTGAGAAAGGGGGGAAAAGCTTCAGATATTTTAAATAGTTGGTTTGAATAGCCAGGCCGATACCTTAGATAACTTTGTTCATTTCTGTTCTTACTGTTTACAGAGCAAAGTAGAACTGTTTCTGTTATTCAGAAGTAATGTACACTTGTCCCAACCCTTATTTTTTATTGCTGCATTGGGCTTTGTTTTCATGCTCGTGACTAGAACATTACATGTAACTTAAAATCTGATGCAACGTGAGATAATTACATTAGAAGCATAATAAGTGTTATGGTAAACCTCCTGTTGATTCTAGATGCCTTAAGATCAACACAGAGACAGTTAAAAGAATGCTTAATGAACTCCTCTCTTTGAATGGTGGGGTTTAGACAGGGTGTCACTGTGTAGCCCACCCAAGATGACCCAAAGATTCTCCTTCTCCAACTGCTTGAATGCTGGGTTGACAGGCATTTGTCACTATACTCAAAAACCAGGAAGCATTTTAGTTTAAGTATTGTAGTTTTTCAAACTTTCATCTTGAAAGGATAATGTATATGTGGTAACATAAAGTTAACCTTGCAAAGGGCCTGTCTCTATTGGATAAGCTGCATCTTTGTCCTCACACAGCATTCCACAGATTCCAGGGGACTGGAAGAACCTGTAGGAAAGAATTGTGCTCATATTCCCCGACAGCCTTTTATAGAGTGAGTCTCTGGCACTGGGCAGATAAATACCTCTTCTGACTTAGTTTGAACTTCCTCAAAGGAAGAGTGAGATGCATTTTTCTTAGAAGTTTGAGCATGGATGCCCTCCCCCAAGCAGAGCTGTAAACCTTCTTGTGTTACAGGGCTCTGGATTGTGCCAAACTGACTGCAGGAAGCCGGTCTCTCTGCTCAGCGTAGCAGATGAACTCTCGGATGAGTGCCCGAGTATGGCTGCCTCCTGGTGCTGTTCTCACAGCCCTCTCAGTTGCAGGGTGGTGGCAGAGTCAGAGTGTCCTCCTTGGTCTCTGAGCAGTGGCCTCTGTTTTCACTAGGGTACCTGAGGTGGCCCAGGAGCTTCCTCTGACTTCGCCCGTGGATGACTTCAGGCAGCCTCGGTACAGCAGCAGTGGTAACCTAGAGACACCTTCGAAGAGGGCTCCCACAAAGGGAAGAGCAGGAAAGCTGAAGAGAGCAGAGCCAGACCACTATGAAACAGACTACACCACAGGTGGCGAATCCTGTGACGAGCTGGAGGAGGACTGGGTTAGGTAAGACCTTTCTCCTTTTCGAGAGCCTCTTACGCCTTCTGGTTATCACCGTGATTGACCAGCCAGGTTTAGGGGTATTGCCTTTGAAACTGGGGTCATGTTGCCATCTCATTTTTTGCCCCCCAGGCCTGAGGACAGTTTTGGGGGTTGTATTTTTCTTTGGTGCCCTTTTATAAAACAGAAGTAGAAGGGTCTGTTTGGTTGTAACTGTCTCTCTCTTTCTCTGTCTGTCTCTCTCTCTCTCTGTCTCTGTCTCTCTCTGTCTCTGACACACACACACACACACACACACACACACACACACACACACACACACACACACACCTTCCTGAAATGGCTCTTCTACCACTAGACCCCCAAGGAAGGCTTTCAAAGAAATGAAACATGGGTTTAGGGGAGTTGTGTTCCAAGTCACATAGGCTTTCCTTTGGCAGTTTCCTTCAAGTTACACTTTCATGGTAAGCCCTGAGTTTCTTTTAAAGTTTAATCCAAAGAACTCTGTGACAGTTTTATAAACAGTTAAAGAAACAGTTTGTTGTAGCAAAAGTTATAGTTAAGGTCTTTGTGTCAGTGACTGGCTTTAGTCTACCATCTCCAAATATACACGTGTATGACGTGTAGCCTTGCCCTGTCAGTCATTCTGACGCTGGAACAGACCTCAGGAAAAAATCTTTTCTTTTCTTCTTCCTTCCTTCCTTCCTTCCTTCCTTCCTTCCTTCCTTCCTTCCTTCCTTCCTTCCTTCCTTCCTCCCTTTCTTTTCTTTCTTTTGAGACAGGGTCTCTCTGTGTAGCCTTGGCTGTCCTAGAACTCAATCTGTAGACCAGGCTGGCCTGAAACTCAGAGATCCATTTATCCCTGCCTCCCAAGTTCTGGGATTAAAGGTGTGCGCCACCACTGCCCACTCATCAGAAATTTGCAGTATGAACGGTGGTTCATAACCCTTGCTTCTCAAGGTGTTAGGAGCATGCATAGCTTGACATCCCTTACTTATGTTTCTCGTGTTTTGCATTCTTTGCCCACAAGAGTCTTACTGGCCTGGTTTACTCATCTATCTGTGAAATATTTGTCTAACTTGTATGATAGAACATTTAACTGAGAAATCACCAGTTTCTGTTTTCCTTTTAATTAAAAGATACAATTTTCCTCTCTGTAAAATGAAGACATTTTACTGACTGTTAGTGCTAAAATTTAAGTCCCATATTCCATGAAGCTTAATCTTTCTGTGAAATAATTCCCAATTTCCCAGTATTTTCCCATGGGATGTTTTGATGTGTCAGCTTCCTATACAAGGAATGGCTAACATTCAGAGATAGAGAATCCATTTTAGAGATTGTTTATTGCATTGTCTTTATTTGGGTGGGGCACTGTGTGTGTGTTTCTGTGTGTGTTGTGTCTTTGTGTGAGTCTGTGTGTGTCTGTGTGTGTGTGGGCCTGTGAGTGTGTGTGAATGTGTGTGTGTATGTGTGTCTGTGAGTGTTTGTGGGTTTCTGTGTGTCTATGTATGGGTCTGTATGTGTCTTTATGTGTGTGGGGGTCTGTGTGTGAGTGTATGTGTGGATCTGTGTGTGTGAATGTATCTGTTTGAGTGTGTGTGTGTGTGTGTGTGTGTGTGTGTGTGTGTGTAGCTTAGAGGACAATGTGAGGGAGTCAGAATCACTTACTTCTCTCCTTATACCATGTGAGTCCTGGGAATCAAACTCATGTCTCCAGGTTTGGAGGTAAGCTCTTCTGCCTGCTGAGCTATCTTGCTGGCTTCACAATTCCAGCTTTAATTCATCCTATTTTGATGAATTGCCAAATTGTGTATGCAATGATCATGTTTTTATAGTTTTTGTTTTTGTTTTTTTAATGCTGGAGATTGAACCTAGGATGTTACACATACACTAATCACACATATTAGTGCTGAGCTTCTGTGTGTGCATTTTAAATGCATACTTTTCTAATGACAGAATAAGATAAGCTGTTTCCACTTGGGAAAAATAAGACCAAAAATAAACAAATAAGCTGGTCTGAAGATGGTAGCTGGCAGCAGGAAACAGCCACTCCCAGCCAGCTGTTCTGCAGCAATCAAGACAGGCTTTGTGTTCAAGAATTTGTTTTCCGACTTTAAGTGTTCTGTTATCCTGTGGTGTCACTAGTGAGAATCAGTGCATTCTTATTAATTGGGAACCTTAAAATTCATGACTTTCTCTCTGTGAGTTCGAGGCCAGCCTGGTCTACAAAGTGAGTTCCAGGACAGCCTCCAAAGCCACAGAGAAACCCTGTCTCGAAAAACCAAAAAAAGAAAAAAAAAAAAAGAAAATTCATGACTTTCACCTTCGTTTGTAAAAATATGAGGAGTATTAATTTAAAGGGAGTGGCAATATACAAAGCATAATTATTCTTTTTGTGTATTAGTGGGGTTTGAACTCAGAACCTTGTACATGGTGTGGCCAGATGGTCTGCCACTGAGCTGTCTCTTCAGGTCTAAAGTCATTTTAGAGGGCTTATATCCAGAACGTTAAGCAAGGGAGTGCAGCCGTGTGAGCATGTGATGTTCTCCCTTGCAGAAGGATGCCCCCTTGACAAGCCTGTGGCTTTGGGAGGTGTGTGCTTGGGATGGTGAGGCAGGAGGGGAGATGCACTTAGCCACTGCAGACGAGTGCCTGAGCAGCGAAGGGGGCGATGGGTTCCAGGCAGACCACCCTCAGCCTCTGTTGTGGTTCTTCGTAGAAGTTAAATGCATTCCACCTCTGTCTCCTAGGACACGACAGAAAACAAGTGTGCACGGTCTCACACTCCTGACCAGTGCGCTGCCTTTGAGGGAAGCCACCGGCTTCTTCTGTGTGCGAAGGGTACTCACGTAACCATTTCCTCCTCCGCTTCCCAGGGAATACCCACCTATCACTTCCGATCAACAAAGACAGCTCTACAAGAGAGATTTTGACACAGGCCTACAGGAGTACAAGAGTTTACAAGCCGAACTCGACGAGGTCAGTAAAGAGCTCTCTCGTCTAGACAAAGAACTGGATGACTACAGAGAAGAAAGTGAAGAGTACATGGTGAGGTCCAGACCTAATTTGTGTTGGCTGTGTTTTAGTTTGGTGTTTTGTTTTTAAAGACAGGGTCTCACCTCCCTGGGGCTCACTGTATAAGCTGAGCATGGCCTTGAATTCTTGATGCTTTTGCCTTCACCTCCCAAGTACTGGGATATCACACGTGTGCCCCATCCTGCCTGGCTTCAGCCCACCCCCTCCCCCCACAGAGATTAAATAGTTACAAAGCAATGATCTAAATGCATAAATGTATCCCTTCCTATTTAAAAGAAAATGGCCATATTAATTTTTTCTATTCATAAATATAATTCATTCTTATTATAAAAACCTCAACTCAAAATTGGACCCATAAAAGTATATCCTTTGGGTGGGGCTCGGTGTCACATACTTTTAATCTCAGCACTTGGGAAGCAGGGGCAGGATTTCTGTGAGTTTAGCCATTTTAGTTTACATACTGAGTTCTAGGCTAGTCAGGGATACTGGGGGATGGGGGTTGGGGGGTTCCCCTTAAATTTCTATCACATATTCCAGAAAAAACTTTGTTACCAGGAAAACTGCAGGAGTGCAGTTAGCTAGACACAGTCTTCCATGAGGACTGGTTTTGAACAGTTAAGAGCAGTGGTCTTGCAGAGGATTGGGGATCAATTCCCAGCACCCACTTGTCAGTCACACCATCTGTAACCCCAGCTCCAGGGTATTTGCTGCCTTCTTCTGGCCTACATAAAGACCAGGTATAAGTGATGTGCAAACTTAACCTGCAGGCAAAGCACCCATATACAAAAAATGTAAATTAAAATTAAGCCGTGCGTGGTAGTCCATACCTTTAATCCCATCATTCAGGAGGTAGAGGCCAGCCTGGTCTACAAAGAGAGTTCCAGAACAGCCAGAGTTGTTACTCAGAAAAACCCTGTCAACAGCCCCCCCCCCAAAAAAAAAGGAGAGAAAGTTTGCATCAAAACATCCACCAAGAATTGACTGGGTAAGTCCCTCTAAAGGCAGCCAGCTGGAGTTCCTGGGCAGAGCAGGGAGGTAGCCTTGTCAAACTGGGGGCTTGCAAACATGCAGCAGCAACATTGGGGAAGCCTCTTTAAGACTGTTGTTCCCAACTGAGCTTCCCATGCTGAACTTCAGGGATAAACAGTAGCCTCTGTTGGAAATGGTTCGCTCTCTAGCTGCTCCCTGTCACACAGTATGGAGCTGGTGAGTCCATTCCCCGAAGGGGGTTTGGAGGACACTTGACACAAACGCGCTTGGACTGAGCTAGCTTCTCACCGAGCTCCAACAGTATGTGACAGTTTACCAATAGAATGTACATTATAGTGGCTCGAGTTGTTGTGGTTTGACCACAGGGACGCCTTTGGTTCCTTCCTGTGTACTTTTACCCTCCTCCTTTGGGTTCACTTTTTTTTTATTTTGAGACAAGGTCTCATATGTTGCTGTGTAGCTCAGCTGGGCTTGAGGTCGTCTTGCTTAGTGCTAGTGTCACAGGCATGTGTTGTCATACCCGCTTTTCTTCTTTCCGTTTGCAGAGAGACAACATGCTAGCCAAGCTCTCTACTGCTGCTTAAACACTATGCTCTAGCACTGTTTGTTTCCTCGTCCTTTACAAGAAACGTTTGTGCTTATTGTTTTGTGTCAATGATAAATGTCTACTTTTGGGGCTGGAGAGATTGTGCAGTCGTTAAGAGCACTGGCTTTTTCCCCATAGGATCCAGGTTCAATCCCCAGAACCCACATGGCAGCTCATAACTGTATCTCCACTTCTAGGTGATCTGACACCTTCATACCAATGCACATAAAATAAAGTTAAATAAATTATATAAAAAATAAATGTCTACTTTTATTGACGCAGGATCTGGCTCTGTAGTATAGGCTGACCTTGAACCCTGAATCCTCCAGCCTCCTACCTGCTGGGATTTCAAGTTTGTGCCATAATGATCAGCTTTTTAAAATGTTTATGCATAAAAGTAGCTGTAAAATTTTCAATTTTATGATTGTGCCATAATTTCTTGAAGGATATATAATACTCTGGAAGTATAGTCATATCAACAAGAGACTGGCAAGCCTTTTGTTTCGTACTCTTGTGTTCTTATGCAGTGAATACAAGTGCCAGAATGTGAAACTGTTTCTGGAGAGGGCGAGCGTTTACAGACTACGTTTCCCCAACCATTTGACTGCCTTGAGCGTTAGTAAATAGCCCTCTCCCATCACTTCATGTGCTGCCTGGGGCTTTGTTCTGAGCACTCGTTACAGTTTCCACCTGAGAAGATCTGCTTTGGTTTTGAAGTGTGTGCGGTTACTGAACCTTGGTTTATATGTTGTTTTCTAGCTTTTATCTGACATTTTGGTAAAGCTTTCTCAAGTCATTCAACATTTATTAATCAGTTATTAGAAAGATAAAATCCCATGTCCTCTGCAGAGAACTCAAATTCTAATCAGAAAACTGACATCTGAACGCCATAGACAGCATGAGACTGATCATGTTATGTGTACAAGGTACTGTCTGAGTAAATATGGAGTGGGAACCCAGGCAGCCCACGACATAGACAGTTTGGAGGTTTCACTGAGCTGTGATCCACTGTTAAGAATTGTATAGAGTGAGTGTGTGGCTTACGCTTGCCCTTTTAGATACTTGTAAGGCCCACGCTCTTGATGACTAAGTTTCAAAGAATGCTGTTTTTTTGAGACAGGATTTCTCTCTTTAACAGCCCTGAATGTCCTGGAACTGACTGTCTAGTCCAGGCTGGCCTCAAACTCACAAAGCTCATCCTGCTTCTGACTTTCTACTGAGTGCTGGGATTAAGGGCTTGTGCCACCACCGTCAGGCAAGAATGCTATTCTTGAGAGAGAAAATGCTTCAATAAGCATTGTCTTTTTTTTCTCATTCGTAGGCTGCCGCTGATGAATATAATAGACTAAAGCAAGTTAAAAGAGTAAGTATCTGATTTTAAGACTCTTATATTTAATGTTTGTGATGACTATACCATTTATGTATATATACACTGATTATAGACAAAAGCCCCGCCATTTGCATATGAGCATTATAACTGAGAAGTTGGCACATTGATTTTGTTTGTATTTGTAGCTTATACTTATTTTCATTGGGTATCCAGCTGGTCTGGAATTCAACTTTGTAGACCAGACTGGCCTTAAACTTGTAGAGATCCACCTGCTTCCCAAGTGCTGGGGTCTTTCTTTAAAGTTGAAGTGTAGTCGAAAGTAAGTAAGTGCCTAAGTCATAGTGGGCAGTTGGTAAATTTTTACTGAGTGACTATATACCTGTATACCTGGCACCCGGAAAAAGAAATAGTTTTTTTTGTTTTTTTACAAAATTGATTTTTATGTATTCATGAAGGCCGGAAGAGGGCAGCAGATCCCATTACAGATGGTTGTGAGCCACCATGTGGTTGCTGGGCATTGAAAAGGACATCTGGAAGAGCAGGCAATGCTCTTAGAAGCTGAGCCATTCCTCCAGACCCAAGATACATTTTTTAGTGAGCCTAATAAATCATCACGTTTACTCCTTTCCTGTTCTTATACTTCCCCAACATCATAGATTAGTTTTGCCTATTTTGTAATAATTTATGTAAAAAGAAACCCTGGGCCTGGAGAGATGGCTCAGAAGTTAAGAGTATTGACTGCTCTGGCAGAGGACAAGAGTTCACTTCTCAGCACCTAGGTGGTGCCTCATAATTATAACTCCAGTTCCAGGGGATCCTGTGCCTCATATATACCCGAAGGCATACGGCACACACACACACACACACACACACACACACACACACACACACACACACACGCACACGCACACACGTTTTTGTTGTTTTGTTTTTGAGACAGGGTTTCTCTGTGTAACAGTTCTAGCTGTCCTAGAACCAGCTCGGTAGACCAGGCTGGTCTTGAACTCACAGAGATCCGCCTGCCTCTGCCTCCTGAGTGCTGGCATTAAAGGCGTGCGCCATCACTTCTGGCCACCTATTTAAGTGTTTACAGTTATTTGATTCCTTAGTTTTGGACTTTTCAAACAATACAGCAAGAATATGCACATGTGTATGTCTGGGATGTCTACACTTAGTAAACTGTAAAATCATTGGGCCTGTATGTGTCTGACTTCGGTAGACTCTGCCATGTAGCCTTCCCAAGTTCACAGGCTAGTTCACATCTCCTGAGCAGTGTAGCCTTCCCAATACACACGCTAGTTCACACCCCTGAGCAGTGTAGCCTTCCCAAGTTCACAGGCTAGTTCACATCTCCTGAGCAGTGTAGCCTTCCCAAGTTCACAGGCTAGTTCACACCCCTGAGCAGTGTAGCCTTCCCAAGTTCACAGGCTAGTTCACATCTCCCGAGCAGTGTAGCCTTCCCAATACACACGCTAGTTCACACCCCTGAGCAGTGTAGCCTTCCCAAGTTCACAGGCTAGTTCACACCCCTGAGCAATGTAGCCTTCCCAAGTTCACAGGCTAGTTCACATCTCCTGAGCAGTGTAGCCTTCCCAAGTTCACAGGCTAGTTCACATCTCCTGAGCAGTGTAGCCTTCCCAATACACACGCTAGTTCACACCCCTGAGCAGTGTAGCCTTCCCAAGTTCACAGGCTAGTTCACATCTCCTGAGCAGTGTAGCCTTCCCAAGTTCACAGGCTAGTTCACACCCCTGAGCAGTGTAGCCTTCCCAAGTTCACAGGCTAGTTCACATCTCCCGAGCAGTGTAGCCTTCCCAATACACACGCTAGTTCACACCCCTGAGCAGTGTAGCCTTCCCAAGTTCACAGGCTAGTTCACACCCCTGAGCAGTGTAGCCTTCCCAAGTTCACAGGCTAGTTCACATCTCCTGAGCAGTGTAGCCTTCCCAAGTTCACAGGCTAGTTCACATCTCCTGAGCAGTGTAGCCTTCCCAAGTTCACAGGCTAGTTCACATCTCCTGAGCAGTGTAGCCTTCCCAAGTTCACAGGCTAGTTCACATCTCCTGAGCAGTGTAGCCTTCCCAAGTTCACAGGCTAGTTCACACCCCTGAGCAGTGTAGCCTTCCCAAGTTCACAGGCTAGTTCACACCCCTGAGCAGTGTAGCCTTCCCAAGTTCACAGGCTAGTTCACACCCCTGAGCAGTGTAGCCTTCCCAAGTTCACAGTCTAGTTCACACCCCTGAGCAGTGTAGCCTTCCCAAGTTCACAGGCTAGTTCACATCTCCTGAGCAGTGTAGCCTTCCCAAGTTCACAGTCTAGTTCACACCCCTGAGCAGTGTAGCCTTCCCAAGTTCACAGGCTAGTTCACATCTCCTGAGCAGTGTAGCCTTCCCAAGTTCACAGGCTAGTTCACATCTCCTGAGCAGTGTAGCCTTCCCAAGTTCACAGGCTAGTTCACATCTCCTGAGCAGTGTAGCCTTCCCAAGTTCACAGGCTAGTTCACATCTCCTGAGCAGTGTAGCCTTCCCAAGTTCACAGGCTAGTTCACACCCCTGAGCAGTGTAGCCTTCCCAAGTTCACAGGCTAGTTCACACCCCTGAGCAGTGTAGCCTTCCCAAGTTCACAGGCTAGTTCACACCCCTGAGCAGTGTAGCCTTCCCAAGTTCACAGGCTAGTTCACACCCCTGAGCAGTGTAGCCTTCCCAAGTTCACAGGCTAGTTCACACCCCTGAGCAGTGTAGCCTCCCCCTCTGTCCTTGCTGGCACTTGACATTGCCAGGCACTGTGGACTTAGACTACTTCTTTGTTTTCAAAAGACTTGATGCCAAAAGTTTTATTGTAGTTACACAGCATAATGATTTTAGGTAAGGTGGTTTTCTGTGTTTGTTGTTGTGTATTTGTATTCCCTATTGCTCTTTCCCTTATTTTTTGAGAAAAGGTCTTCTGTTGAACCTGGAGCTTAACTATGTGTATGTGTGAAGGTGTGTATGTGTGTGTGGAGGTGCTTGTGTGCCATGCACACGTGTGGAGTTCAAACGATATACTTTGTAGGAGTTGATTCTCTTTCTACCATGTGGGTTCTGGGGTTTGAACCCAGGTAATCAGGCTCTGCAGCAAGTGCCTTTATCTCCTTAGCCATTTTACTGGCCCGTTTTTTTTTTAAAGATAATTTATAAGCAAAAAGGTCTGTAGGTTCTCCTGGCGGCTTTTCTAGAAATGAGCATACCATTTGTGAAAAATTAGCTTAAAAGCATTTTATTGAGGAAAAAGAATCATCTGCTTATGTGGTTAGTGATATTACCCAACACCTTAAACATATTAATTTAATACTTAGCAGTTAAGGCTCAGAGATCAAGAACACTACTTGGTGTTCCAGAGGTCCTGAGTTCAATTCCTAGCAATCACAGGATGACTCACAACCATCTGTAATGAAATGAGATCTGGTGCCCTCTTCTGACTTTCAGGGGTACATACAGACAGAACACTGTATACATAATAGATAATAAATCTTAAAAGAAAAATACTCAGCAATTCTTTTTTTTTTTTTTTTTTGGTTTTTCGAGACAGGGTTTCTCTATGGCTTTTGGAGGCTGTCCTGGAACTAGCTCTTGTAGACCAGGCTGGCCTCCAACTCACAGAGACCGCCTGCCTCTGCCTCCCGAGTGCTGGGATTAAAGGCGTGCGCCACCAACGCCCGGCCTCATCAATTCTTTATGACTAGTATTTTCTTGTTTATTGCTGCTTTCTCAGGAGAACTACTTTTTCCTTCTAAAGATTTTTTTTATTTTAGAAATAATCTTATTTTACATATCACCCTGCCATCATTCTAAAGATTTTTACATACAATATATTTTGAGGTTTTCCCCTTCTTCCAACTCCTCCCAGATCCTCTCCACCTCAGTATCCAGCTACCCAACTTCATGTGTTCTCCCTTAATCTTAAAGAAACATAAAAGAAAGGAACCACACACACAAAAGAACAATAAGACAAAAGAAACCTGGCAAACCAAAAGTCCACAAGAACAAAAACAAACAAACAAACAACCGTGGAGTTTTGTGTAGGTCAGACACTCCTGGCCATGGGGTCTGCCCTGGAGTGTAGTTGATATGCCCAGTGAAACTTCAGGAGACCTGTTAGTTAGCTTGTTGCGTTCATCTGATTCATTTTCTTCCTTTCAGTCTGCAGATTATAAAAGTAAGAGGAATTACTGCAAGCAGTTGAAGAGCAAATTGTCGCACATCAAGAGGATGGTGGGGGACTATGACAAACGGAAAACCTAGGCAGGTGCCGCTGTTGGAGAAATGAAGCACATCTGTCTGCCGATGCCTCTGCAATTCTCGCCAGAGGCTCCGTGACTCTGACTCTAATCTGGGAAGTTAAGACTTTGTGACCATGACAAAGTTTCCATAGCTTTAATACCATCAGTTTCATATCATCAGTATTGGAACATTTTGTTATGACTTTTCATAATCTACTGGGCTGAACACTCCGATTACAACATTTAGACTTTCAACATTGATTCTTGTAATTTAGAATGAAATGTTGTTTGAAGTTCTAAATTTAAAGACAGGTCCTGGTGTGTACTGTGTTGTGAACATTCACATGCCAGACAATGATGTCTTAATACCCAAGTGTGTTCCTCCAGGCAAAGGCCACCTTCTTAATCATCTCAATAGTCACCTTCCCAACTGGTGGTTTTTTTCCTTTGTTTGTTTGTTTTTTTTGTTTTTCGAGAAAGGGTTTCTCTGTGGCTTTGGAGGCTGTCCTGGAACTAGCTCTTGTAGACCAGGCTGGTCTTGAACTCAGAGATCCGCTTGCCTCTGCCTCCCGAGTGCTGGGATTAAAGGCATGCGCCACCAACTACCAGCTCTGGTGTTTTTCTTATATTGTCTTTAACGTAAGTGATTGGGATTATTTTGGCTTCACATTTTTCCTAATACTTAAGATCGTGTAAAATTAACACATGTGTGAAATTTAAAATTGTAAATATATATTGACTTTTGAAAGATCATTTTTAAATCCAGGGCTAGAGTTTTGTGCATTTGTATCTTTGATAGTTTATATGCTTTTTTTTTTTTTTGGTAACCCACTACATCTTTTCACTGTATCAGAGTATCCAATTACATTTATAATTATGACTTGAATTGTATTTCACAGGAATGTTCAAGTTCTGTACATATTTTGTAATGCATTAAACCTAGTGTTCTCGTGTGATTGTTTGATGTCGTTAGTGTTATAGTCAGCTGTGCAAAACTATACTCACGCGTTTCCTTTGTGTGAACCATCTTGGCCTATACTCATGCGTTTCCTTTGTGTGAACCATCTTGGCTTCTGTGCTACTTAGTAGTTCCTCATCCTTGGGCAGTGAAAAACTAATCTGGAAATGGACTAATGTTCATTGAACAGCCCTGTCTATAAATCTCATGGTGTTCTTTAAAAATTAAAGCTCTTGTTAGTGGCATGACGTTAATTGATAATAGTGTATAAACCAAATTGATTGTGTACATCCAGCCCAGTTTGGCCTATTATTTTAAAAAAATGTTTTATATACCTTCTAGGCATTGAAACATGTGTTTTATGTATACAACTTTGAATTATTTTCCAAGATAAACTTTTAAATAATGTTTTTGTGCAATCCTGGTTGAAGAGAAATTTTTCTTTCTGTATGCTAAACATAATACAAAAAGTATTCTCATAGCTTTGGGATGACACCTAAGTAGAAAGGGCTGCAGGGCCAACTTCCCTGACTTAATGGTAACTAACTCTTTGTTCTTGGCATTGTTTTGTTTTGGACAGATTTCTCCAGGTAGCTCAAGCTGGCCTTGAACTAATGATTAGTTCAACTAGGCTTCAGCTCTTCAGGCCTCTGGCTTCCACCTCCCAGGTGGTGGGATTACAGTCATCCTCCATGTCTGACTCATACTTAGTTTATGAAGCCAGCTTGGTGTCCTCACAAAGAAACCTGTTTTGTTGAATGAAGAAAATGAAGTGACAGGAATTATAAAAGTGTGCCATGGAATTAGAAGGTGGACTAAGAGAAAGGATTCTTTCACAGTGTGGTGCTGCCACCTCAGGCCTGATGCCGGTAACAGGATGTGTCTGTTGGTGCTGGTGTTAAATAGCTGGATCTCACCTAGAATCTGCTTTTAGGCAGTTTCATAACAAATAATAGGTTTAGATTAAACTTCGGAGGTTCCTTATACATGCTGACCCCTGGTTCTGATATCTGCTTTCTGCTAATAAACTGTTCTGGGGGATAGTTTGTGAAAACGTAACCCTTCTTACAGAAGTTTCCTGGAAAAGGTGATGCCTTATGTGTGTGATTTTATTTTAAAATTAAAAGTATGTAGAAGAAATGTTTTCTATTTGAAAAATTGGTATAGACGTACATGAACCCAACACCCAGAAAGAAGAGGTAATACTGTTTTGTTTGTTTGTTGGTTTGTTTCTGAGACAGAGCTTCTCTGTGTAACAGCCCTGGCTGTCCTGGAACTCGACTTGCATACCAGACTGGCCTAGAACTCAGAGCAGAGATCCACCTGCCTCTGCCTCTGGAGTATTGGGATTAAAGGTATGTGCCACCACTGGCTAGCAATAATGTTTTGTTACATGTACTTTATATTTTTGAAATAAAGTCTAGTATTTACAATAAATATTAGTCCAGTATTTGTAGCTAAAATTGTATATACAGGTATACAGGACATCTCATTTAATTATCAAAACAGTCTTTTGGCATGCAACTGTTCCTCATTATTTTGTGGACAAGGAAATTAATAGTTTGACACATCAGTGGGCTGAGTCACATACCAGTGTGTATAGAACTGAAGGTGGAGTCTTGATCTGTGGACTAGTAAGTTCTATCTCTTCTTCCAGCCTAGATTGACTGCTAAGTGATGCATTGTGTGATGTAGGGCTACAATGCCCGGGGTAGATGAAGTATCTTCTTTTAGTTTTGAATGCCCTCGAAGAACTTCACACTAACATGAAATGCTTCGTCCAAGATCTGCAGAGTCTGCTAGGACCTGAATGGGCCAAGAATGGTCAGGGCAGAAGCCTGCTTTCCCAATGGACTGTGGGACTCTGGCTTCAGTTGGTGTTTGGGAATTCTTCATACAACGACAGATCCCTGCTTCAGCCTAAGATTGAAGTTTCTTCTGTCTGAACCTTTTCAAAGTTTTATCTGGGGAAACCAGAATTAGGATTTATGCTTGATCTCCTACTCTACTGCCCTATAACCGCTTATCTGAAAGATAAATTAACTAGGCAGAACTTATTTATTTATTGAGATATAGGGTCCGACTTTGTCCCTCAGGCTGACCTTGTACTTGTCATCCTCCTTTCTAAGCCTCCTACGTGGTAGGATTACAGGTGTGAGCCACTATACTCAGCTATCCTCAAGCATTTATGTTCGCATTTCTCATAGTGGGAAGAAATGGCAAATCAAGTAAGTTGGGGTAGTTTTTAGAAAATACTGTGCTAGAGAATTGTAATGATGACTTCTTGAAGCTGAGGGAAGATATATCTATTATCTATCTATCTATCTATCTATCTATCTATCTATTATCTATCATCTATCTATCTATCATCTATCTATCTATATATCTATCTATCTATTATCTATCATCTATCTATCTATCTATTATCTATCATCTATCTATCTATCTATCATCTATCTATCTATCTATCTATTATCTATCTATCTATCTATCTATATCTATCTATCTATTATCTATTATCTATCTATCATCTATTATCTATCTATCTATCTATCTATTATCTATCTATCATCTATCTATCTATCGATCTATTACCTATCTATCTATTATATATCTATCTATCTATCTATCTATCTATCATCTATCTATATATATATCCAGGGTGTTTTTATGTGCTATGACAAGATACGGAAGGGTGTGTCCTCCTAGTCCCCCTGTTGCTACAGGACCTGCTCACTGCTGTTTTCTGTGTGTATTGTCTCATTCTGGATGTGCTCTATCTGGTAAACTGCTTAACTCCTGTACTTCAGACTTTTGGTATCTCTAAAAGACACCTGAGAACCAGGCATGATTATGTACTCCTATAATCCTGTCATTTGCTGAGGCAGGAGGATTACTTTGAGTTTGAGGCCAGCCTGGGTTACATGATGAAACTTTAAACATGGGGCGGGGTGAGGGTTACTGGAGCAATGATTCAGTGGTTATGAGCACTTCATCTTCAGAGGACCTAGGTTTGAGTCTCAGCACCCACAAAGGGTGTTCCATAACTGCCTGTAACTAACTCTCCTGGCCTCTGCTGGCTCTGCGATTAAGAGTTAGAGATACAACACAGTGCTAGAATGCTTGCTTGCTTAGCACATACACGATTCACTGTCTGCTCTACAGAAATGCAAAGATACTTGTAATCTTAATATGCAAGTAATGTGCAATTTAGAACTGACCCTGTCAAAAGTGAAATAATAAATGTATCCAGGTAACCCTGCCTTCCAAAGTTAGTGAAACTTTAGCTGGGTGGTGGTGGTGTACGACTTTAATCCCAGCACTTGGGAGGCAGAGCCAGGCTAATTTCGATAAATTCAAGGTCAGCCTTGTCTACAGATAGAGTTCCAGAACAGCGAGGGCTACACAGAGAAACCCTGTCTCAAAACACAACAACAACAAAATATTAAACTTTAACAAAAGTTTTAAAAAAGGAAACTATTTTTTTAAATTATATCACTGAGGCTGGAGAGATGGCTCAGTGGTTAAGAACATTGGCTGTTCTTCCAGAGGGCACAGGTTCAATTCCCATCACCCACATAGCAGCTCCCAACTGTCTGTAACTTCATTTCCACAGGATCTGACATACACACCATCTCAGACATATATGCAGACAAAACACGAATGCACATGAAGTAAAAATAAGTTATTAAAAATACTGTGTTGCATTGATGTGTGTGTGTGGACTCGGGAGCCACTGCATGCTTTTGGAAGTCGGAGGACAACCTGAAGGAGTTGGGTTTTTTTTTTTTTTTTTTTTTTTTTTGTCCACTGTGTGGGTCTTAGGAACCAAACTCAGGTTTGTCAAGCTTTTCAGCAAGCTCATTTGCCTGCTGAGCCAAATGGCCTGCACAAAAATTGTGTTTTAAAAGTATGTGTGTGGGGCTGGAGAGATGGTTTAGTGATTAAGAACATGGGCTACTGTTCCAGAGGACCCAGGTTCGATTCCCAGTACCCACGTGACAAGCTCACAACTGTCTGTAGACCCAGTTCCAGGTATCTGATACCCTCACACAGAAATACATGCAGGTAAAACACCAATGCATAAAAAAAAAACCAATGCACATAAGAAAAATTAAAAAGTATATGTGTAGGGGCCAGTGAGAGGGCTCAAAAGATGGAGACAGTAGGATTATTGTAGCAGAGCCTTTATGTGCCTTGTAAATTGCAGTGTGTGTGTGTGTGTGTGTGTGTTGGGGGGGTGTGCTGGCGATGAAATCCAGGTCACACATGTTTTTACCCTAGGCATAGAAGTTTGAGCCAGCCAGGTAGTGGTGGTACACGCCTTTAATCCCAGCACTTGGGAGGCAGGTGGATCTCAGTAAGTTTGAGGCCCCACCTGGTTATAAAGTGAGTTCCAGGGCAGTCAGGATTGTTATACAGAGAAACCCTGTCTTGAACCACCCTCTCCCAAAGTTGAAGGTGAATTATTTTTGCTATAATCATTTAATTTCTACTTAAAGGTGTTGGGATGGGGGCTGAAGAGATGGTTCAGCAGTGTCTGCTCTTCCAGGAGTCCTGAGTTTAATTCCCAGCACCCACCCATACAGTGGCTCTGGCATAAAGATGTACATGCAGATAGATCCCTCCCATACATAAATAAATAAATCTTTTTAATCTCAGCACCCAGGAAGGCAGAGGCTGGCTGAACTCTGTGAGTTGGAGGCCCATCTACAGAACCAGTTCCAAGACATCCAGGGCTATGCAGAGAAACCCTGTCTCAAAACCACCTCCCCGCCAAAAACAAGTGTTGGAAAGGTTCACTTCTCAGTCTTTCAAGTTAAAACACTTTTTGTGTTTCAGTTACATCCCACTAGCTGAGCTAGTCACACATTTCCTTTCTTCTTTCTTTCTTTTCTTCTTCTTCTTCTTCTTCTTTTTTTTTGAGAGGCTTTCTCTGTATCGCTTTGGAGCCTGTCCTGACACTCGCTCTGTAGACCAGGCTGGCCTCGAACTCAGAGATCCGCCTGCCTCTGCCTCCCCAGTGCTGGGATTAAAGGCGTGCACCACCAATGCCTGGTTTACAGTTGTTCTTAGTTTTACAGACTGAAAAAAGTATTTCCGTAGGCAAGATAATTTTGTTGTTATCTTGAATGTGGTTGGAATATTAGCAATAATTATACTAGAATTACCATGCATCTGTGAACATTTGTTTTGCTTCAGCACCTTTTTTGGTTGTTGTTTTGTTTTTCATGACATTTCTCTTTGTAATAAACGTGGCTGTCCTGAAACTCAGTTTGTAGAACAGGCTGGCCTTGAACTCATAGAGATCCACTTGCTTCTGCCTCCTGAGCTCTGGGATTAAAGGGGTGTGCCACCACACCTGGCTGCTTTTAATACCCTTGTTAATGTAGTTTTAGTGCAAAACAGTGGAGTTCCAAAAGACTATGTTTGACCACCTGTCTCAGTAATGATGAATGGCAGAGAAAGATTTTTATCTTCTAAATTATTTATTTTTATTTCATTTATATTGATGTTTTGCCTGCATGTATGTCTGTATGAGGTGTCAAGATCTTGGAGTTACAGACAGTTGTTAGCTGCCATGTGGGTTCTGGGAATTGAACCTGGGTCCTCTAGAACAGTAGTCAGTGCTCTTAAACACTGAGCCATCTCTCCAGCCCCGAGAAAGATTTTTATTAAGGTGGACATGATGGGGAAAGCAGATGAAGGGGTTTGCTGATACCCAGTCTGTCTTCAGGGGGCTGAGAGGGACTTTGAGATTTCATAGAGAAAAGGGAGAGGCTTGTGGTTTGCATAGGTGACAGAGCAGGCGTTCTGGGTCAGGGCACGGGTCTGGTTCTGGAGAACTTGTTACTAATATCATCGCTGTGGGGCAGTCTGTTTACCATGAGGTGATTGTGCCCGTGCCCGTGCTGCAACCTCACATCATAGGTAATGGCCCTCATTTGGGAGGTAATCTGTCCTGCCAGGCTTCTCCTGGGAGTTAGTTTTGGTTCCTTGTCATAAAGATGTTTACGGATTAGACTTGTCATTCCTGGAATCCAAGAGAACTGCAGAAGGGAGCGAGAGAGAGTATAAGGTCAGTGACTGGTGCCCTTCATCTTCCTACATTAGTCTTAAAACATATTTCTAAAATTAATAGAGAGCCAAAGTTAAACAAAGCTAAAGTTATGAATGTGTCCCATTTCACAAGTTTGCTTGAAATGTATTTTAAATTTATTGGGGGAGGGATCCTCTTCTACTTTTGGTTTAAGGCGCGCTTGAGGTGTGTGTGCGGTGGAGATGTCAGGGGACCCGGCTTAGAGATGGCTTAGCAGTTAAAAGCATCTGTTGCTCTTCCAGGCATCTGTTGCTCTTCCAGAGGGTCCGGATTTGATTCCCATCATCCACATGGCAGATAACGAATATCTGTAACTTCAGTTCCACGGGATCCGATGCCATATTCTGTACCCCGCCCCAACTAGGCACACACATAGTGCACAGACGTGCATGCAGGCAAAAACACCCATACACATAAAGTAAAATTAAAAAAGACTCCCTAAGCCGGTGCATGACACACCCGGAACTTGTCGTTTTAGCTGTTTGGCCTGCAGAAATGCACCCCACAGTAGAAATCTTGGGCTCATCACTAATAATTGGTTTTTCTCTCCACAAGTTCAGCTGCCCCCACGCCCACTCTGGCCGTCCCTCAACCACACCAATATGCTTCCGCCTCCGAGACCGCACGCCGTTTCCATTATCCGTCGAGCATTCCCGCATCGCCTGGCATGGTTGAACGTTCGTGTTCTGGGTGGTTTCTCAGCCGGCTTCTCTCTGGAAGACTCGCCTAGCCTTGTTCTCCCGGATCCGGCCTCCTGAAGGCACGGTAAGCTCGTGGCCGCCGTCGCTCCCCAGCTCCCCGCTCTGGCAGTCTCTGCCTACAGCCGCCGGAACGCTTTCTGCGTGGCCCCAGCGCGCCGAGGACGGATGTTGGGCGGCGCTCTCTGCCTGACGGCACTTCCGGCGAGGGTCGTCTGCTCTGCTCCCGGGCGTCCGCGGCTGGAGGCCTGCGCGGCGACGAGGGTTTGGAGGACAGGAGGGACCTGGAGGAGAGGCCGAGGTGCAATGGCGGGGCTGGCTTCGGGGGAGCTGAACGCGGAGGGAGGGCGTGTGCTGGGCGACAGGCTGCCGCGGGGGAAGGGAGGTCCCGCCGCCTGGGCTCTGGTTTGCCTCGGCCCTCCGGCTGTGTGGCCCGGAGCGAGCGTCCAGCGCCAGAGCTGTCCATTTCCGAGAATCACGGACGGCGGTCTCCCTTGTCAGCCCTCCTCGTGCCAGGCGGGGTGAGCGGAGGCAGAGCCTCGCCCGTTGCCGTGCGCGCTGCGGCTCCCGTGTTGGTTGGTAGCATCCCCAGTTCTCTCCACAGCAAACACTCCGTGGGCTGACTTTTAGCTGCTCGGCGGGCAGATGGGTGCGATGGCTAAGATTCTGGGAAATGGATCAGTGTTGCGCTCTTCGGGGAGTTTTAACCCCTTCCCTGTCAGATTCCCCAGTATAAGCAGTTTTAATTAAGATGCCCTGTAAGATGCCCCCCTTTGCCCCCGGAGACAGGGTTTCTCTGTGTAGCAGCCCCGGCTGTCATGGAACTCGCTCTGTGAACAAGGCTGGCCTCGAAATCACAGAGATCCGCCTGCCTCTCTGCCTCCCGAGTGCTGGGATTAAAGGCGTGCGCCACCACCTCCCGGCTGGAAGATGCCCCTTTAAGAACCAAAATTTGTACAGTTTTTACTCATTGGTCCTTGTTGCCTCTGAACTTTCAGAGAATAATAAGAGTAAAACACAAAGCATTTTTGATATGATAGAACCACATTTTAAAAGTTTAGAAGCAATATATTATACGGTGTGCGTGTGCGCGGGCGCACTCCCACTTGGCCTGGGATCACCGGTGTACCCCGATATGCCCATCTCGAGCAAAATTTTCATTTTTAGTGTTCACATTAAGTCCAGAAAACAAGGTATGGGAATGTTGAGCTTAGTCACCTTATTTACGACTGGCATACACTCCTCGGATGGCACCAAGATGGTCACAGTGTTAAACAGCTCACGTTGTAAGACACTGTCTTTAGTTTTTCACTCAAGCCTGTCAAATCGGGATAGAGGGAGGTGTCATGTTAAGAAAAGAAGACAGGCATCTCCAGAAGCGGGATTGCTCTTTAGTCAGAGCAGCAGGAGGGCCACAGTCTCTGTGGCAGCTGTGGCTTGAGGGTTTGGGCTTGAGAGGGCAGGGGTGTATTGGGGAGAAGCTTGGTGGATCGTTTTCTGGCCTTAGCTCTGCCCCTGCAGTTTCAGATAGGAACTGTCAGCGCTGGCGGTTATTCTTGGGCATAGGGGTTTCTGGGCAAGCATTTGCCAGACGGAGATATTTTTGCCCTTTACAGGCAAATTGTCAGGTTTTCTGAGACAAATTAATCTCTGACAGAGATAATAAGAGACTTCTAAATTCTCTGGGAAATAAAGAGTTTAATAATATTGGATCGTGGCAGGTTTAATTAAAAAAAACCCTTTGATGTAGTCTCCAACTCTCTGACTTGTTAATAGATTTTAAATTCCAGAAGTCCATGTATTTTTTTTTTTTTTTGAGACAGGGTTTCTCTGTATTGTTTTGGAGGCTGTCCTGGAACTAGCTCTTGTAGATCAGGCTGGCCTCGAACTCACAGAGATCCGCCTGCCTCTGCCTCCCGAGTGCTGGGATTAAAGGCGTGCGCCACCAACTCCCGGCATATAGTCTATTCTTTAGTGAACAAGCTTTTGGTATGTGTTTTGTTTTCTGAGACAGAGTCAACTCTGTATGTCATACATTGTCTTCAGCATAGAGCTGGGCATATACCTTTAATCCTAGCACCTGGGAGGCAAGAGGCCGGCAGATTTCTGTGAGTTTGAGGCCAGCCTGGTGTACATACTGAGTTCCAGACTAGCAGGGCTATATACAAAGATCCTGTTTCGACAAAACAAAACAAAGGCTGTCCTGCTTCTGTGGGTTATTTCACTCAGCTCAGTTCTGTAGATTAAAAAAAGTTTCAGCCGGGCGTTGGTGGCACGCCTTTAATCCCAGCACCGGGGAGGCAGAGGCAGGTGGATCTCTGTGAGTTCCAGGCCAGCCTGGTCTATAGAGTGAGTGCCAGAGTGCCAGGATGGGCTCCAAATCCAAAAGCTACAAAGAGAAACCTTGTCTCAAAAAACCAAAAAAGTATTGCTTATAGTGTATAGTCCTCATTACCAAAAACTGTCATGTTTTCCCCCCTGCCACTGTTAGAAGATAGTCTTTTGTCCTCAGTGTCTTGGCATTTGAGAGTCCTTATGGGCATGTGGTGAGGAGGGAGACCACTCCCCCGAGTCTTATGTCAATTTTTCATCTTCTTTATTTGAGAGAGACTCTCACTTTGACTTTGTAGTCCACACTGGCCTGGAGCTCACTGTGTAGACCACACTGGTCTCTGACTTGCTACTGTGCTCCAGCCAGGATTATACTTGTGAGCTATCATCTCCAACAATTTTGTCTTAAATTATTAAAGAAGTAAATGTAATATGAATACACATAATAATTTGCAGAAAACTCCAACTATTCTTAATTCTATCATGCAGATAGAATTTTTCTTTACTAGTTAAGGTCATATCCCATAGGTAGTTTTTTGCCTTGTTGAATTATGAGCTATAGCATTTACCTATTTCATAAATGATATATTTCTTTTTTAAAAAAGATTTATTACATATACAGTGTTCTGCCAGAAGAGGGCACCAGATTGAATTGTAGATGGTTGTGAGCCACCATGTGGTTGCTGGGAATTGAACTCAGGACCTCTGGAAGAGCAATTAGTGCTCTAAACCTCTGAGCCACCTCTCTAGCCCTCGATAAATTTCTTTCTTTTTTCTTTTTCTTTTTTCCTTTTTTTTTTTTTTTTTTTTTTTGGTTTTTCAAGACAGGGTTTTTCTGTGTAGCCCTGGCTGACCTGGAACTTTATCTGTAAACTAGACTGGCCTTTCAGAAAGCTGCCTGCCTCCCAAGTGCTGGGATTACAGGCTTGTGCTACCCCCAGCTGGCTGATAAATTTCAATTTTTTATTTTAATAATATATTAATAACATCTTCAATCCCAGTTCCCTCTCCCTCTCATCCTTCCATGCCATCCACCATCCCCCCATCCCACCTCCATCCTCTCCCCAGGGAGGGTGAGGCCTTCCATGGGGGATCATCAAACTTTGTCAAATCATTTGGAGGAGGACCTAGGTCTTCCTCCGTGTATCTGGGCTGAGAGAGTATCCCTTCATGGGAAATGGGCTCCCAAAGTTCATTTGTGCACTAGGGATAAATAATAGTTCCTCTGTCAGGGGTCCCATAGACTGTCCAGGCATCCTAACTAGCACCCACATTGAGAGAGCTTGGTTCAGATCAATGCTGGTTCCCCAGTGCTGGGTTCATGTGCTCTCGCTTGCTCAGGTCAGCTGTTTCTGTGGGTTTTCCCAGCATGGTCTTGACCCCTTTGCTCATCCCTCCTCCCTCTCTACAACTGGAATCCAGGAGTATGGCTCAGTGCTTAGCTGTGGTCTGTTTCATATCATTTATTGGAAATAGAAAAAATAGTTTCATGACTTTGTATTTTCACAGAATTACTGAACAAAATACTAGATTAAAATATATTCTTATATTCTGATGTTTTAAATTTTGTCCTTAACTATCAAGTAATTGGATTCATTTTGGTTTTTTTTTTTTTTTGGATTCATTTTGTAATAACTGTCTTTAGAAAACTTGTGACCCAATGGTTTTTTACAGTTGAATAGGTATATATCAATATAAAAACATGGATGAAGAACCTGAAAGAACTAAGCGGTGGGAAGGAGGCTACGAGAGAACATGGTACGTAGAGTGTAGTTGTCCCATGTTGTAGACTTTGTCTTTTCTTCTTAATCTCAGTTTATTAAAGTGTGTTTATGCATGCTCAAACTCCTACACCTCAATGTGTAATCCAGTGAGTTTACTTTTTTGTATAGCTTTTGCCATAAACTATTGTTAGAACATTTTAATCATAACAGTAAGTTCCTTCATACTCATTCTGTTTCTACCACCTGTAGACAACTATGAATCCATGATCTATGGATTCACCTTTCTTGTACATTTTATGTCAATTTCAAAGCTCATTCATATTTATGTTTCTTTGTAATTGCTGGATAGTGTTCCATATACTGTCATGCTGCATTTTTGTTTATTCATTCAGCATTTTTGATCTAAATCGGATCTGATCTAAATGTTCCAATTTAGATTAGTTCCAATTTTTGGCTATTGTGGATTGTGCTGCTATAAACATATATATATATACAAATCTTTGCACATTTTTAATTTTTATTGGGTTAGGGTTTTTAGCTTATCTTTTCAAACAAATAAATGTTGCCTACAGGGAAATTCTTAAAGAAGATGAAACTGGATCACTTAAAGCTACGATAGAAGATATTCTCTTCAAGGCAAAGAGAAAAAGGTATGAAATGCTTCTATGAAGGATTCACAAAAGGAAAATATATTCTTGAAACCTTTCTGCCCTGCTGTAGCCATCTTTAGCACTTTCTTTTAACTGTGTGTTTAGTAGGGAAGCTCATCCATAATCGTCTGACTTGGGGTAAAGAACTAGCAACGAGCCCTGCCCCCCAAGAAAGCGGTGTTCAGAGGCTGTCCATGTATATTCCAAAAGTTAGTAATTCACTAAAAAAATTCAGATAGGTTGTTTTATTGAGTTTTTGGTAGCATATGGTGTTGAAATAAAATATTTTTTTATAATTTTAACAGAGTGTTTGAGCACCATGGACAAGTCCGACTTGGAATGGTAAATTATGATTTTTTTCTTTGGCTTGTGCAGAACTAGTGTGGATCAGAGGGATCCTCTGCCTTGATAGAATAAATGGTAAAACAACTACTTTGTAAAAGAATATATCTAAAGTGTATGTATAGGATGTTTGAATATTAAAAGGTATTTCTGTTTCTTCTAAAAAATGTACTTGAAATTTTTGTTCCTCATTTGTTTTTGGTAGATGCGCCACCTTTATGTGGTAGTAGATGGTTCGAGAACAATGGAGGATCAAGACTTAAAGCCCAATAGGCTGACTTGTACTTTGAAGGTATAGTAAAACCACTTAAATCTGTGCTAAATACAGGGAAAGAATACATGTATATATGAGTTCGAGGCAAGTCTGGTCTCTAGAGTGAGTTCCAGGACAGTTGAAGCTGTGAAGTGATGGTGCACACCTTTAATCCCAGAATTCAGGAGGCAGAGGCAGGTGAATCTTGAGTTCGAGGACAGCCTGGTCTACAGAGCGAGTCCCAGGACAGACAGAGCTACACAGAGAGACCCTTTCTGGTAAAACAAACTGTTAAGGGCAGCTTTTTCTTTGCTAGCCGCTTTGGTTTATCCCCCGCCAGCCGCCTGGGCTCTGCTGCATTGTAGTACCCAAATAAACACACAAGACGCTGTATTAATTATGAAGCTGTTGGCCTTGCTTGTCTCTTACTGGCTAGCTCTACTTTAAGTAATTACCCCATAATTGTTAATCTAAGTATGTCTCTTACCGGAGAATAGTTCCGGGATTCCTACCTCATGGCGGTTACATCTCGAACTCTCTTGTGTTCTCCTTCCCAGAGTTCTCCTGGACTCCTAGTCCCTCCTATCTTGGTTCCCTATAGGCTCAACAGTACTTTATTGACAAATACACAGGACTTCCCCCAACAACAAACAATCAAAAACAAAGGAGAAAGAGAAAGAAAACAAAAAAGAAGTCATTGCGAGCCAGGCGTTGGTGGCGCGCGCCTTTAATCCCAGCACTCGGGAGGCAGAGGCAGGCGGATCTCTGTGAGTTCCAGCCCAGCCTGCTCTACAGAGCTAGTTCCAGGACAGTCTCCAAAGCAATACAGAGAAACCCTGTCTCGAAAAACAAAACAACAAAAAAACAAAAACAAAAAAAGAATAAGTCATTGCTTTGGTTTATTAATTCCCTAAATCAGTGGTTCTCACCTTCCTAATGGTCTTAGGTCACCCCTGTGAAAGGGTCATTCTCCCCCAAAGGGGTCTCGCCCTCAGGTTGAGAACTGCTGTTTTTAGACTACTTATACCCTGGCCGCCCAAACTGATAATCATTCTCCTTTGACTTTTTGAGTCTGTTTTTTCCATTTACCAGGTAAGCAATATTCTAACTTATTTATTTAGTTTTTCCACATTTATTTAGTTTTAGTTTCTGTGTGGTCCTCCTGTCTGTCTTAGAAGTAACTCTGTAGGACAGACCCAGAGCTTTCCCTGCCTCTGTCTCCAGAGTGCTGAGACTAAAGTTGTGCACCGCCACACCCTGCTGATATTCTAATTTATTAGTGCCTGTTCTTGACTCTGCTCTAACCTCTCTTCACTGCAGCTTCCACTTACATTGTTTTACACGAGTCCAAATGGGTCCATCTTCTTTATGGTTTGAATTTCAAGATTAGAGTTTGCTGTGTTTCCTCAGCTGACCTCAAACTCCTTGTCTTCGGAGGCCTTGCTTCCAGTGTAGCCGGGACAGCAGGCATCTGGCACTGTGCTTGGCATACTTTCAGCTTTAACTGAGCTGTGTCTGTCTTATTACCTACTTCACGTGTAGATTTTCATTATATTTTTACAACTAAACATTTTCAAAATGTGTCTAAATTTATGACAAGATGAGAGTGTTACATTCCTGAATCCCAGCACCCAGGAGACAGAGAGGAGTACCACCCAAGGCTCGGTGTCAGCCTGTTCTATGAGTGAGTGCAGGCTAGCCTGGGCTGCACATGAGAGTGAGTGAGTGCAGGCTAGCCAGGGCTGCACATGAGAGTGAGTGAGTGCAGGCTAGCCTGGGCTGCACATGAGAGTGAGTGAGTGCAGGCTAGCCAGGACTGCGCATGAGCATGAGTGAGTGCAGGCTAGCCAGGGCTGCACATGAGAGTGAGTGAGTGCAGGCTAGCCAGGACTGCACATGAGAGTGAGTGAGTGCAGGCTAGCCAGGGCTGCACATGAGAGTGAGTGAGTGCAGGCTAGCCTGGGCTGCACATGAGAGTGAGTGAGTGCAGGCTAGCCTGGGCTGCACATGAGAGTGAGTGAGTGCAGGCTAGCCAGGGCTGCGCATGAGAGTGAGTGAGTGCAGGCTAGCCAGGGCTGCGCATGAGCGCGAGTGAGTGCAGGCTAGCCTGGGCTGCACAGTGAGACACTGTCTCACTGACATTCTTGTTCCCCCAAACGTCATGAGAAGTGCTGCTTAATCAATAGATCCTACAGAACACTGACATGTTTATTGTTGCTGCTTTGTTTTTTATATAACACTTCCTTTTAATTTTCTTTCAACAGTTGTTGGAATATTTTGTAGAAGAATATTTTGATCAAAATCCTATCAGTCAGGTATGTAGATAAATGGTAGAATTCAGAACTAGATTCCCATTTTGCTGCCAGATATGGTTTATTTTGAAAAAAGAGGCATATTTTCTGTGAAGTATTGAGGAAACCAGGTTATGTACCTATTTTTGGTATAATTAATAGTGTTGAGTAAATAATTCTAAGTTAAGCATGTACTGTGTTTTAATAATGTGTAGTCATTTCATAGCTTGATTTGTCAAAAGCACCATGAGAAAAAATTTCATGTATCTTCCTAACTTCTTTGACAGTTACTAATTGATAGTCCATGTATTTTTTTAATGAAGAGGAAATAATTTGTTATATTAAAGCAATAATTTTTTGTTTTCATTTTGAGATTGGAATAATTGTGACTAAGAGTAAAAGAGCTGAAAAACTGACTGAACTCTCAGGTATGCATAAAAGTATCTGTACCTAACTCTGAATTCGTGCCCATGTTTCAAATTGAGTTCTGAAGTGTTGGATGTATTGCATTGGAAGTAAAAATGTTTATTTAAGTACACATTCTTATCCTGAAAATAGGATAGCTAATTGTTAACTATTCATAAAATTCACATAATTCTCAATTTAAAAAATGTCTAATTTAGAGAGTATAAAAGTTGAATTGGGCTATTTATAAATGGCTTGGAGCACTTGTTCTTGCAGAGGACCTGAATTTAGTTCTCAGCACTCACATGGGGACTCAAACTGTCTGTTACTCCAGTTCCAGGGGATCTGACACCCTTTTCTATCCATATACATGCAGGCAGAACTGTCATACATATAAGTTAATGGCAGTTTCTTTTGCCTTTATTATTATATATGCTGTTACAAATTTACATCATTTTTTTGTAAAATATACTATTCCTTAAATTATGTTCTTAATCTTTTCTATTAGTACACATAAAGGAGATGACATATTTTGTTCACTAATAGTTCTTACTCTAGCCATAAGGAATCAAATATACACTTGCCAAAAGTGTGCCAGGAAATCAGTTGACAACAATCTCCACTAAATAGTCTTAGGGGATGTTAGGGATGTAGCTTAGTAAGTAAGGCCCTAGGTTTGATCACCGGTACCATAGGAAACAAAACCAGGGGCAGGAGAGATGGCTCAGTGGTTAAGAGTGAGCACTGGCTGCTCTTCCAGAGGATCCAAGTTTATATGGGTACCCACATTGGCCCATAATCATCCATAACTCCAGTTATGTGTGATGCTGGCTTCTGGTCTCTAGGGACAACCAGGCACACACATGGTTCACAGATATCTGTGCAGCCAAAACAGCCATACACAATTAAAAAAAACAAAACCACAAACCGACTCAAAAAGGAAATTGGTATACATTCAAAGGTGGACTGATTTCTCATGTAGCTGTTTCTAGGGATCCTGTCTGTGTCTGACTTTATTCTCTTAGAGAAATGCTGTTTTCTAATAGCCCCAAGTTTGTATGGCCAGTGTATTCCATAGCTTCAGCATAACTTTAGTAGGACTGGTCTTTCTCATGGCTTGTGTATCCAACAGCTGTTGGAGCAGCCAGGGAGATGAAATGTTTTGTTGGTTGGCTTAGATTACGCTGTGCCCGTAGCAGAATGGAAGGTGAGCCCCACAGACTAAGTAGGATTATCATGTGATTGAGGAAGGAGTGTTCCTCTAACAATGTCAACCCTCTTTCCTTTCCCTCCTGTCCTCAAATTCAAAGCAGTTTTCTGAAGATGGCAGTGAATTCATATGTTGAAAAGATGAAATAGCATTTAGAGATTCTTTTTTTGTTTTGTTTTGTTTTTTGTTTTTCGAGACAGGGTTTCTCTGTGGCTTTGGAGGCTGTCCTGGAACTAGCTCTTGTAGACCAGGCTGGTCTTGAACTCACAGAGATCTGCCTGCCTCTGCCTCCCGAGTGCTGGGATTAAAGGCGTGCGCCACCAACGCCTGGCACCTTTAGAGATTCTGATAAGCTTCTTGGACAGCTTCGCTCCTTATAGTCAGACCAATGCTGTAAGCCAGACTGACACTGAAGTAATCTGCATTTCCCCCTGTGCTCATAACACAGTGAATCTATAAATAGTTGTGTGGCATGGTATTGGGGAGTGGGGAAAGTGAATAGAGAACAGAAGATCTAGGTTTGGGTGTTGGTACTCCTACCATTAGGTAGGTCTGTGTCTGTCAACACATCATTTCATTTGTTTGGATTTGTTAGAAAATGAAAATAGACAAATGAAAAGACCCAATTTTTTTGTTTTGTTTTTTTTTGTTTTTCGAGACAGGGGTTCTCTGTAGCTTTGGAGGCTGTCCTGGAACTCACTTTGTAGACTAGGCTGGTCTCAAACTCACAGAGATCCGCCTGCCTCTGCCTCCCCAGTGCTGGGATTAAAGGCGTGCGCCCCCAACGCCCGACTAAAACCCAAATATTTAAAAATAAACCAGGTACCATGCAAACCTGTATTCCCAATTCTCAAGACACTGAAGCAGGAGAATTACAAGTTCTAGGCCACCCTGGGCTAATGAGTTTGAGGTTGTCCTTAGCTATGTAATAAGATCTAGTCTCAGGTCCTCAAAACACAGCAAAATAAGACAGGAAAAGGTAGTAAGACCCAGCAGTTACCTGTGAGTTGGTTATGGCAGTGTCTTGGTGATGTCTGTCAAGTGTTCTAGAAGCATGCAGGGCACAGATGGTCTTTTCAGATAGTCTTTCAATCCTCCCAGACGTTACAGAAAGTAATACAGCTGCTTATTTGTTGAATCTTCCCTTTTTAGGTATTTGTTAATGCTTGTTTTCTTTCCCCAAGAGGTAATGGGAATTATGACATTTTTCCATGACATTATGACATTATTTCCCTAATACAAATTTATATCTCATTGCGTTTTTCTTTGCTCATCTACATAAAAGTTAATCTTTTATGTCAGTAATGTTTCTAGAAAGTTTTCATTGTTTTGTTTTTTGACACTTTGTAGCCCAGGCTGGCCTAGAATCTACAATCCTCCTGCTTCAGAGATGCTAAAATGAAAGTATTGATCTTACAAATGATAAAATACAGAGATACTAAAAGTAAAAAAAATTCACTCTAGGTTAACATAATTTTAAATGTATAATAATGTATACAGATATTTTTCACTCTAGGTTAACATAATTTTAAATGTATAATAATGTATACAGATTTTATATCTATATAGCAAAATATAGATAGTAGACTTTCTACCGGACATTTCTGATAAAAATAGAAATCGAAATCATTCTGTAAATCAAATACTTTTCTATATAGAGTTTTATTAAACGTTATTTCATTTTACTTTAGGAAACCCAAGGAAACACATAACATCTTTGAAGAAAGCTGTAGATATTACCTGCAATGGAGAACCATCTCTCTATAATTCCTTAAGCATGGCTATGCAAACCCTAAAGTTAGTATTTTTAAAATTTGTTTTTAATTATGTGTGTGTGTGTGTGTGTGCATGTGTGTACATGAGTCAAGCATGCCAGAAGAGAGTGTCAGATCCCTTGGAGCTGGAGTTACAGGCATTTGTGAACTGCCCAGCATGGGTGCTGAGACTTGAACTCTGGGCCTCTGCAGGAAATTCCATGCTTGTAGCTGCTGAGACATCACTCCAGGTCCCATTTCTTTCTTTCTTCGTTCCTTTCTTTGTCCCTCCCTCCCTCCCTCCCTCCATCCCTCCCTCCCTCCCTCCCTCCCTCCCTCCCTCCCTCCCTCCCTCCTTCTCCCTCCGCTTTCCCTCCTATTTCCACCCCTTCTTCCCTTTTCTTCCTCTCACAAGACAGTATTTTCCAATGTTGTTCTAGTGTAACTGAGAATGACCTGAACTCTTGATTCTCTAGTTTCTACCTCCCCAATGCTGAGATTACAGGCATTACAACCATAACCAGTTTATATTGTTATTTATAATTGTTTCAGAATTTTTTTATGAGTTGTATTAGGTCTTCATGATGCCTGTTTTAACAAATAAATTAAGTAGGAAAAGATCTAAAATATCATGTATGATGTTTATTTTGATGTTGGCTATTTTTTTTTAAGATTTATTTATTATGTATACACTGTTCTGTCTGCATGTACACCTGCAGGCCAGAAGAAGGCCCAGATCTCATTCCCGATGGTTGTGAGCCATCATATGGTTGCTGGGAATTGAACTCAGGACCTCTGGAAGAGCAGCCAGTGCTCTTAACCACTGAGCCATCTGTCCAATCCAATGTTGGTTATTTTTAATTTGTATTTTATCAGTTAAAGTATATCTGTAATGGACTGGGCGTTGGCGGCACACGCTTTTAATCCCAGCACTTGGGAGGCAGAGGCAGGTGAATCTCTGAGTTCGAGGCCAGCCTGGTCTACAAGAGTTAGTTCCAGGACAGCCTCCAAAGCCACAGAGAAACCCTGTCTTGAAAAAAAAAAAAACCGAAAAAAGAAAAAGAAAAAGTACATCTGCAATGGGCTTAGAAAAATACAAGAAAATTCTCAGCAGTACACAAGAATTATGAAGAAAATTTAATTGACTATAAATTGAATGGCTAGGCATGGCATTGCATGCTGGTAATACCAGTACTCCAGAGGCTAAGGCAGAAGGCTTATGAGTTTGAGTTATATTGTAAGATCTTGTTGAGAGAGAGATTGAAATTAGAATTAAAAAAATTTTTTTTGAGACAGAGTTTCTTTGTGTGGCCTTGGCTGTCCTAGAACTCGATCTGTAGACCAGCCTGGCCTTGGACTCTTGAGATCCAATTTCTCTGCCTCCTAAGTGCTGGGATTAAAGGTGTGTGCTACTACTGCCTGGTGAAATTTAGAATTTAATACCAAATAATAATCGTGGATTGGCTGTAACTTTACTAACATATATACCACACTTCGTAGCTTAAATTTATAAACCATGTGTACTGTCCCTTTTAGCTTAGTGTAATTTGTTTGATCTATTGGAATGTGTCTTGACCTCTTTTTATAGACACATGCCTGGACATACAAGTAGAGAAGTACTAATCATCTTTAGTAGCCTGACAACCTGTGATCCGTCTAATATTTATGACCTCATCAAGGTAGGACCAAAACTGAAGCTAGACTCTAAAGGAAATTCTGTAGTAAATTTATTACTAGTTTTCAGAACATTACATTTCAAAGTTATTATTCATAAATATTTTTCTTTTTCTCTGGAAATCATTCATATTTTTGGATCTTATGAAGACCTTGAAGGCAGCTAAAATCAGAGTGTCTGTTATTGGATTGTCTGCAGAGGTTCGAGTTTGCACTGTACTTGCTCGTGAAACTGGTGGTATATATCTACTATCTTCAATAATTGTAATTACTGTGTAAGAAATAATTTATTAATTAAGTAGGAAGTTTTACACCATTAAGCTGAAACCATTTTATGCCTGTAGTCAAAAATATAGCTGTAATCTTAAACATTTCATTGATTTTTTTTTTGAATTTTCAGTAAGTCACTGTTTAGAGTTATAATTTTCAAAAAATTTGTAGCCTCACTATATGTAATTCTTTGTAAAGACTGTAGCTTGGCTTTAATTTTAGTTACTATTATTCCTAGAGAATTTGATTGAGAGATTTTATTTAAATCATTTTTAAATGATAATTTACTTAATGAATTGTATATAAACTTACACAGAAACCTTTTTTATAACTGCTGTGTTTTGCTTCTCTTGTTAGGCACATACCATGTTATTTTAGATGAAACCCATTACAAAGAGTTGTTAACACATCATGTTAGCCCTCCTCCTGCCAGCTCAAGCTCCGAATGCTCACTCATTCGTATGGGTACGTGTTTCTTTTGTGCTGGTTTACATGTGTGCCTTTGGTTCAAACTAGGCATTCTGCTTTCAGTTGTGCAAGTCATTGCTTTGACATTTAAGAATTTGTTTCTTACTTAAATCCTTAACAATAAAACACTGCATGTTGAAGCATGTTTATAAAATGAAGAGAAATTTAAAGCAAACTATAGTCAAGTCATATGAAAGCACTTCTGACCTTCTTGTTAAGCTAAGAGGGTACAAAGGTATTTTATTTAAGGAAAAATACTTGTGGTAAGAAATTTGATAAATAAGCTGCAAGGTCTTTATTATATAATCAAAGTATGCCATACAAACTGCAAAGACAGAAAGTTGCAGAGACTGCAACAAATTACTTTTTTTAGGGAGTAGGAAATGAATGGTCATAAAAGTGATCATTTAATTTTTTTTTTTCTGAGACAGGGTTTCTCTGTGTAGTCCTGAATGTCCTGGAACTCGCTATGTAGACCAGGCTGGCCTTGAACTCACTGAGATCTACTTGTCTCTTACTACCAGGTGCTGGGATTAAAGATGTGCACCACCACTACCTGGCACCTTTGCTTTTATTTGTTCATTTATTTAATTATTTTGTGATGCTGGAGATTAAAACCAGCCTTGTACATACTAAACATATGCCATGCACTTGAGCTTCCCTTAATCATCTGTTTGTATTTGTAGGTTCATTTTTCAATTTTATGTAATGATCTCTCTCTTGCTCTCATTCTTCTGGTTCCTGCTTTCCCTCAATATGTATTCATATTCTTGAATTGTATATGGAAAATAAATGAAAAGTTTTTGCATCTCAAAAAATTAATAATATTTTCATGCACTCATTAAAATACAATATATTCTGGTCATACTTATGCCCTCTTTCTTCCTTTAATTTCTCCCATATCTATTCCCTCAAATTTCAAAAATTTAAACAAATAAGTGCTTAGATAAAGAGAAACTATATCATGTAATATATATTTAGTTATATTAGAAACTATATAAAATGTGTGAACTTTTTCTTTTTAGATACAGTATTGCTAAATTAAAATATAAATATAAAATTTGAAATGTGAGGTCATATGGCTAGATCATTCTCCCTTTTCCGCTACTTTTTCTTACACCTTGGAATTTGATTTTCATCATAGTATGATAAATACATATGTACTTAGAAGGAAAAAGCTTTTTTACAAGTTGGTTGATTTTTCTGTTAGGACTGTTTTTAGTTTCATAGTCCTAAAATTCTGTTGTCTATAAAAAGAAATTAATGCTTTAATTTTTTTAAACTTGTAAAGGATTCCCTCAGCACACCATTGCTTCTTTGTCTGATCAGGATGCGAAACCATCCTTCAGCATGGCGTAAGTAAAGTGATAGTTTAACATTTAAAATTCATTCCTCTAAGTTTTTTTTTTTTTTTTTTCGAGACAGGGTTTCTCTGTATTGTTTTGGAGGCTGTCCTGGAACTCTCTCTGTAAACCAGGCTGGCCTCGAACTCACAGAGATCCACCTGCCTCTGCTTCCCAAGTGCTGGGATTAAAGGTGTGCAGCACCAATGCCTGGCTCTTCCTTTAAGTTTTAAGTTTTAACTTAAAATAGATAGTCTTGAAATATAATAATACCTTTATTTATTTATTTATATTTTTTAAGACGGGTTTTTCTTTAGCTATGGAGCCTGTCCTTGAACTCACTTTGTAGACCAGGCTGGCCTGGAACTCACAGAGATCCGCCTGCTTCTGTCTCCAAAGTTCTGGGGTTAAAGGCGTATAATGATTTTTATAAACTAATATTATCTACACAGCCATATAAAGAAATGATTTTCTTTGTATATGTCTATGTTGTGATAGTTAGGATACAATACTAAGTAAAATGTCAAAGTATAAATATATAATATATTGCCAGTCCTCTAAATTAAGGGTGAGGGAGGTGTGTTGATTTACACCTGTAATTCCAGGACTCAAGGACTGAGGCAAGGTGATAGTTTTGAATTTCAGATCACTCTGGGTTATAGAATGAGATTCTATCTCAAAATCCATATATGTGTATATATATATATATATATATGTATATATATATGTATGAGTAGATGTATTTACTTGTTTATTTTAATGATAAAAAATAATAGTGAGAATAGAAAGTTAAAAAATTTATCTTGGGGCTGGAGAGATGGCTCAACGGTTAAGAGCACTGACTGTTCTTCCAGAGGTCCTGAGTTCAATTCACAACAACCTTGAATGAGATCTGGTGTCCTCTGCTGCTGGCATGCAGGCAGAAGACTGTATACACAATAATTAAATATTTAAAAAAATTATCTTGGTGGGTGCTTGGGTAACTTAGGGAGACTTCTCAGAATAAAAAGGCAAAGGAGGGCTGGGGATGAGCTAAGTGGTAAAGTGCTTAACTTTTCTGCATAAGACTGCAGGAAGGACATTTAATAGAGCCCGTAGTAATGGGGCCAGATTAGGTTAGTTGTCTGATCTAGACCAGACTAGTGATACTTAAAACAAACTTTGAATAGATCAGTTAAGTATCTAAGTCACTTCACTCTAAAACAAAGCCCAGAATATTTATGGAGAAAGTAGTTAGCATCCAGAATAACATTTTACAATATCTGACAGCATGCAGAAATGACTAGGCAGCCAGCAGTGCTGATGTACATGGCTATATGCCAGCACTGGGGGATGAGATAGGAGGATCATGGGAAGTTTAAGGTTGGCTTGGATAATATAGAGACACTGGGAAGGGGAGAGGGAAATCGGTGTGGGGGAGGCAAATTTCCCTAGAGAGAGAATATGAAAGAACGAGAAAAACAAAGAAAAATTACAGAATGGAAGCCAGAAGACACTTACTGGAATTCGGAGATGACTATTAACAAGGAGAACTTGAAACTGTATAAAAAGACTCAAGTCAAACTTCTAGAAATGAAGAATATAAAGTCTGTGAAGAAAAGTGTACTGGAAGGGCTGAAGGGATGCCTCAGTGGTAAGATCATGTAATGTTCCTCCCCAGGACCAAAGTTTGGTTCCTAGCATTGGGCAACTCACAGCTGCCTATGACTCCAGGTCCAAGGGATCTAACACTTCTGTTCTCTGAGGGCACCTGTACTTATGTGCACAACCCCCACTCCCTGGAATTAAAAATAAAATAAATCTTAAGAAAAGGATTAACAGATTGGTCAGTGCAAGAGAAAGAGAAAAAAAATAATAAATTCAGAGGCAGTAAGAGAAACTTCAAAATAAATTCAGAAAAAAACGACAGCATTAGTGAGCAATGAGAAATAATTGTTTTCAAGTAAAATTTTGCTCATTTGTCTATTTTTTTTTTAAAGACTTGGTCTCACTGTGTGGCTCTGGTGGGTCTGAGACTCACTATTAGACCAGGCTGGCCTTGAACTCACAGAGATCTGCCTGCCTTTGTCTTCTGAGTGCTAGGATTGAGTTATATACTTTTCACCTTTTAAAAATAACTGTTTCCTCTCACAGGCATTTGGATAATAGCACTGAGCCAGGACTTACACTGGGAGGCTATTTCTGCCCACAGTGTCGAGCAAAGTACTGTGAGCTTCCTGTTGAATGTAAAATATGTGGTAAGAGCCCTATTATCTGTACTCAGTAAATTAGTATTAAATAACTTTCTATCTGTATCGCTGCTAAAATAAACAAAAATATTGAGTCCTGCTTATTATGTACTTAACTTGTACAAAGGAAATAGAAATAATCCACTTCTAAGAATGAACACAGTATCATAGAAGTTTCCTGATTCTCTTTCTGATAAATGTGCTCTTTAAAAGCACTATAGTAGCTGGACAGAGGTGGCGCATGCCTTTAATCCCAGCACTTGGTCTACAAGAGCTCGTTTCAGGACAGCCTCCAAAGCCATAGAAAAACGCTGTCTTGAACCCCCCCTCCCAAAAAAACAAAAAAGAAAAGCACTATAGTAGATTTTTTTTTTTTTTAACGAGACAGGGTTTCTCTGTATTGTTTTGGAGGCTGTTGGTCCAGCCTGGCCTCGAACTCACAGAGATCCGCCTGCCTCTGCCTCCCGAGTGCTGGGATTAAAGGCATGCGCCACCAACACCTGGCTCATTTTGGGCCTTTTAATAAAATCATTATATATAAGTAGAATGAGGAGCTAATATAATTCTAAGATCTTTCATTTTTAAGTAAGGAAATAGTTTTCTAAGAGAGGTTATGCATTTAATGACAGAACGAATTCGATCCTGTAATCTTTCTTATTTTTTTTATTTTTATTTTTGGTTTTTACGAGACTGGGTTTCTCTGTATTGTTTTGGAGGCTATCGGTCCAGCCCGGCCTCGAACTCACAGAGATCCGCCTGCCTCTGCCTCCCGAGTGCTGGGATTAAAGGCGTGGACCACCACCGCCCGGCTTACCTGTAATCTTTCTTTATGGCTACAGGTAAAGAACACTCAAGGTCCTAAAAATACTGAGTGCTGGATATGTAGCATAACGGCAGGTTTTAGTGTGTGTGAGGCCCTAGATTTGATCCCCACCTCTAGGAAAATGGAAATAAAGACACTTGGAAGTAGTTTTTCTAGTGTATCACTTGACTTTTCAGCTATTGTCTATGAGGTTGTGCTTATTAATGTTTCTGTCTTTATGCATTAGGTCTTACTTTGGTGTCTGCACCTCACTTGGCACGATCTTACCATCATTTATTTCCTTTGGATGCTTTTCAAGAAATTTCTCTAGAAGAATATAAAGGAGAAAGGTATGTGAGTTTTGATTAATTCATATGTTACAGTGGTAAACTAATATTTGAAACAGTTACCACCTAAAGTTATATTAATTTGTGTAAAATTATTTTTAATATAGGAAATGAGATGTAGACTACTCTGTATTTATAGAAATCTGTTTACTTCCCTAAACTCACATATTTGTGGTTAAGAGTGATGATACATTGGTTTGGTGGGGGTTGGGGTGGGGGTTGGGGGCTAGAAAGATAGCTCAGTGGTTAGGAGTGTGGACTTCTCTTGGAGAGGACCAGGTTGGGTTCCCAGCACCTCACAGCTGCCTGTACTTCCAGCTCTAGGAGAGTCTATGCCTTGTCTCTTGTATCTGCACTCATCTGCGCATGCCCATACACAGACACACACTCATATACATACTTAAAACAAATTTTTTTTTTTTTTTTTTTTTTTTTTTGGTTTTTCAAGACAGGGTTTCTCTGTGTAGCTCTGGCTGTCCTGGAACTCACTCTGTAGACCAGGCTGGTCTCAAACTAACAGAGATCTGCCTGCTTCTGCCTCTTGAGTGCTGGGGTTAAAGGTGTTTTACCCCTGCTTGATTATAGATTTTTAGGAAATGAATATTTTCTATTTCCAAGAGCATCAGCATTTGGAAACCTTTGGTCACTGCATCCATTCATGAATTCTCATGCTTAAAAATAGCATAGAAGAAATTTCATATGCTGATGGAGAGATGACTCAAGGACCCCAGGATTTTACTGTCCAGCTAGCCTAGCCATTCAGTGAGCTCCAGGTTCAAAGAGAGACCCTGTTTCTTAAGACAGGGTAGAGGATGATTAAGGAGGACACGCCATGTCAACCTCTGGCCTCTATGTGTGTACACATGCCACATAGGGAAAAGAAGTTATTGTAAACAAGCATGTCTAGATCCCTTTGGTTTTTAAAACTGCTTCATATTTCATGGGCATATTATATATAATACATATATAACCAGTTTCTCCCTATTGAATACTGAAGATCATTTCTTGCTATTAACAAATAATATTCATGTCTATATCTCTGAATTTTTTTAAGATTTATTTATTTATTATGAATACAACAGCCTGCCTCCATATCTGTCTGCAGGCCAGAAGAGGACATCAGATCTGATTATAGATGGCTGTGAGCCACAATGTGGGTGCTGGGAATTGAACTCAGGACCTCTGGGAGAGCAGTCAGTGCTATTAACCTCTGAACCATCTCTCCAGCCCCTCTCTGAATTTTTATACAGGAATGTACATACAAATTCTCAAGTAGAATTGCTGAGTCAAAGTTATATAAATTTTGTTAATGTTGTAAAATTGTCCTTTTCCCCCCAAGAAAAAATGATTTCTTTATCCCTGGTTGTCTTGGAACCAGCTCTGTAGACCAGGCTGATCTTGAACTCACAGAGATCTGCTTGCTCTGCCTCTTGAGTGTAGAGATTAAAGGCGTGTGCATCTACCACCTGTCAAAGTTGTTCTTTAAAGAGGCTTTATATATTTATATATTTACCCATGTTTGACTGATACTAAGTATTATGAAAGTTTTTTATATTGGTCCAAATTGACAAGTCAAAACCCAAGTTGCATTGTTATAAGTTGTATTGAAGTGTGAAACCTAGTAGAGGGGTTGGAAGATAGAGCTGAAATATGCCGAAAAGTAGGTAAAAGTTGTAATATGGTGTTAATAGGAGAGTTAAAGATGAAACAGGTGAATTTATGTTGAAGGTCCACTGTGAGAATAATATGAAAAAGAAAGATATATTGTAGGGTATTAAAATATCTTCCTTTTAAAAAGATAATTTTCTGCCTGGCAGTGGTGGCAAATTTTAATCCCAGCACACAGGAGGCAGAAGCAGGTAGATCTCCATGAGTTGAAGGGCAGCCTGGTCTAGAGAGCAGTTCCAGGACAGCCAGGACTGTTACATGGAGAAACCCTGCCTCAAAAAACCAAAGCAAAACAAAAAAAACTAAAGTTTTTATACAATTGTGAAAATTTAAAATATATAGCAAAATACTAAAACTGTCAGTTATACAAAGTGCTAATCAGAGCTTTCAGCTTCACATTTAGAGGGAAAAATACACCTTACTTAAATTATGTTCCCAGGCCAGCGGCCAGCTTCCTGTTATGAAAACATAAAGGTGTTTTCAGACTTGTGAGGTCTCAAAAAGACCCTTCTGAGGGAGGGCTGGCACAGTACATACAGGCACCTGCCACCAAGCCTGATGACCTGAGTTCAATCCTGAGGACCCACATGGTGGAAGGAGGGAAGTAACCCACTCAGTTGTCCTGTCTTTCATCTGCATGTCATTCCACACAAATACCCACACACATATACAGATAAGTAAATAAAATATTGTAAAAACTGCTTAACAAAGAAGAGGTACTTGGGAGATGATCTGGGAGAAGTAGGGGTGAGAAGGAGATGGACATGGGATCTGCAGACAGATGTCTAACTGCAGCAAGCCCAAGGAAGCTTTAGGGTAAAGGTGAGGAGAGCCAGAGTGACGTCTGTTTAGGGGGAATAGTCAGTCTTGTTTTGGAAAGTCGGAATTCTCCAAGAAAGATTTCTTGAGGGGAAACAATAGATTTCCTGAGAGTTAAATGTATTCAGAGGCTGTTTAGACTATTCAGGGAGAGATTAGAGTTGAACTGTGTCAGTTATGTAGAAAAGTAAGTTTGCAATTAACTAACACCCAAAAAAGTCTTTAAAAGAAGAAAATTCAGGGCTGAGGAGATGGCCCAGTTCGTCAGATGTTTGCTATTGCTATACAAACCTGAGGTCTGGAGTTCAGATTCCCAGCACTCAGGTAAAATGCCAGGCCCAGCAGTGTGTGCCTATAATCTTAGCACTGGGGCTGCAGAGGATTCCTAGGGCTTGCCATCCTTGTAATCGAGCCAGTCATTGAGCTCCAGGCTCCATAAGAGACATTATCTTAAAAATAAGTTTGAGTTGGGTAAAACAAACAACAATAAGATGGAGAGTAATAGAAGAAGACGCCGAGGTAATGAATGATCTCTGGTCTCCACATGTACTGGCCCGTTCACTATCACTTACCCATACTTCACACACATAAAGAAAGGAAAAAAGGGGGCTGGAGAGATGGCTCAGCGGTTAAGAGCACTGCTTTTCTTCCAGAGAACCCAAGTTCAATTCCCAGCACCCACATGGCAGCACACAACTCTGTAACTACAGTTCCAGGGGATCTGACACCCTCTAGCAAACACACATGCAATCAAAAAACCCATGCACATGAAATGAAAACAAATACATTGTAAAAAAAGAGGGAAAGCTCTGCTGTATTACTTGTCATAGCTGAAATGTTTATATGTGTATTTAAGTAGTCTGATGTTGGTATTCGGAATAGCAGCAAGTGCTTTTAACAGCTGAGACATCTGTAAAAATTTTGAAGGTACTTCTGGGGAGGTAGAAATGAAATGAGGAGAATAAAAAAAGGTTGCTTTTTGTTTGTTTTTTTGAGACAGGGTTTCTCTGTGTGGTCATGCTGTCCTGGCACTCACTCTGTAGACCAGGTTGACCTCAAACTCACAGAGATCCACCTGCTTCTGTCTGCCAAGCGCTGGGATTAAAGGCGTGCGCCACCCCTGCCATGCTAAGATTGCGGTTTTGTAATAAATTCTGAGAATCTGTGTGCAGGGATGATGCTATGCATTGAATTTAAGGCCTTGTACATGCTGAGGTTGAATTCTACCACTGAGGGTTATACCAGTCCCAGTTCCCAGAACTCTTAACTCTTAAAACCAGTCCTGGAAAACAAAGCCACAGGCATCCATTGTATATAACAAATTACTTGGTGCCCCTCTAGGATCCACGGCTATCTACTATATTTTGGAGAACTGAAAAATAGTAATTCAAATATTTTCTGTAGTGATCAAATTCTCATAGAATTCTAATTCAAAAAGCACGTGTTTATTTAGTCATAATGATAATGAGAATTACGTTTTGGGTTATGTGATGACCTGGGACATAGTATATGATCGTTCTTGTTGTTCTGAGGGATTATAAATGGAGTTTACTGGGTGTACTGCAAGAAGCAATAGGCTAGACTATGTAGAACAAGATTGCAAGAGTGCCGTAGCCCATGCTCTTAAGATTAAAAGAATTATCGACTTCTCAAAATGGTCTCTAAAATTCATGTGTAAATACAATTACTTATTAAAGGATTCTAGGTACTAAGATTTTACTAAATTATTTTAATGAGTGAAAACAAAAAATAATTGCCAAACTTTTTTTTTTCAGATTTTGTTATGGATGTCAGGGGGAATTGAAAGACCAGCATGTAAGTGCATTGGCTTTATCAACATTAAGGAATACATAAGAAATATTGAGACAATGATACTGTAATAAGTTATAAATACATTGTTGAAAGCCAGGCTTTTATCAGGTTATTCCCTATAAAGAAAATAAGGTAAAGTTAAGATGGGAACAAAGTTTTTAAATAGTTTTGTCATTCTCATTCTAATTTACTATAGGGAGATCTCAATACTGTTGCTTCAGTTTTCCAAGCTAAACTGCATTTAGTTTAGAAATATTAAAACTTTAGAATCTATTATGCTTTATTTTGAAATTAGCACTATGGTTTCATAAACAAAATAAGAAAATACTTTTAAACTGTTTTTGAAGGCAGAGCCAGGTGTAGTGGCCTGTGCCTGTAATCTCAGCTGTTGGGATGGCAAGGCAAAGAAACACTTTGGAATTTCAGCTCACCCTGGGTAGCATAGTGAGCTCTCATCTTAAGGCATACAACAGAGTTTAGAGCTGGACATGGTAGCACCCTGAATGCTGAGATCACAGGCTTGTGCTTCCATGCCCTGCTTGCTCTCACAAATAAAGGAGTTTTATTAAGGTAGGTACAGTAGCAGTGCATAATGTCCAGCTGTTCAGGAGGCTTTTTCTTTTCATTAAATTTTACATTCCTTAGTATCAGTGGAGTAGGTCAGTAGTAGAACACCTAACTAACATCCATGAAGCCCTGGGTTTGAATTCCTGCACTGAACAAAAAGGTTTTGCAGTTTTCTTTGTCATTAGTAGCTTCATCCTCACTAAAACTACTTTAAAAAAATTATTTAGCAGTTTTAAAATTATTAGTGTGTGTGAAAGTATAATGTATTTGTGAGTGTGTGAGCACATGAATACCACAGTGCATGTGTGGAGGTCAGAGGACAACTTTTGGAAGCCAGTTTTCTCCTCTAATTGTTGAATGGGTTCTAGGGATCAAATTCAGGTTTGCACTGTGAAGTTTGCATTGGGAGGACTATTTCTCCCACTCTCAGTGTTCCTTGGTTGCTTATAGTTCTTTGTGTTGGGTTGATGTGCCATGGGCTTTTCTACGTCCATGTTAGCATTTCTGCTGTGTCCTTTTCAGCTAATGTTTAGGCAGACACATTAGTGATACTTCATGGGTGTAGCTTCTCTGACATTCCTAGGAGACACAATCTCACAACATATTCTCTATTTCTCTGGCTCTTAGAATCTTTCTTACCCCCACCCCCCACCTTTGTAATGATTCCCAAACCTTAGGTGTATGAGTTGTATCGGTTGGGATTGGACTCCACAACTCTGCATTTTGATTGGTTGTGGCTTTCTGTAATGGTCTCTGTTGCAAAAAGAAGTTTCCTTCATGAGGACTACACTTATCTGTGGGTATAAAGACATATTTAGAATGTAGTTAGTATTTTTACTGGTTTAGTACACTGGTGGTTATAGATTTCTCCAAGATCCATGCTGTAACTAACTCGGGGTAGTTGACTAGGTTTCCAGTACCAGGCACAACTTCCCTCTTTTTGAGTGGACCTTAAATCCAATTGGGGAGCTGTTGACTACCACTAAAGTATTCGTGCCACTATTACACCCTTAGGGTTTTGTGCCATGCTGGCTATTGTCACATTGTAGCTGGGTAGGACTGTTGGTTGCTTTCCTCCTTTGAAGGCAAGCATGGATCCTAACGGTACCACGAAAGCTGGCTCTCATGAAGGAGGCTGTCAGGTCAGTTTCCTGAGGACTAGCATTCATATTACCAGGAGGTGCTCTGTTTGCCAGTTTTAAAGAACACATCTTTTCATGTTTGAAATGTATTGATTTCGAATCTGTGTGTTGTTGCCCTAGAAATCTTAGACCAAAGCTCAAGGATCCACAAAGTAATGCTGATAAAATAATGCATTTTTATATGTTTTATGTGTGTCATTTGACATTCTCATGTGTTTTTTTTTTTTGTTGTTGTTGTTTTTGTTTTTTTGAGACAGGGTTTCTCTGTGGTTTTGGAGGCTGTCCTGGAACTAGCTCTTGTACACCAGGCTGGCCTTGAACTCACAGAGATCCGCCTGCCTCTGCCTCCCGAGTGCTGGGATTAAAGGTGTGCACCACCAACGCCTGGCTTTGTGCTTTGTTTTTTTTTTTTTTTTTTTTTTTTTTTTTTTTGAGATAGGGTCTTGTAGCCCAGGCTGGCCTGGGCCTTAATATGTGACCTGAAATGATTTCCAGTTTGTGATCCTCCTACCTCTGCTTTCCAAGTGCTAGAATTATAGGTGTGTACTCACCTTCCTCCCAACTGTTTGTCATATTCCTTAAAGGTTTAATAAGGGCCGGGCGGTGGTGGCGCACACCTTTAATCCCAGCACTCGGGAGGCAGAGGCAGGCGGATCTCTGTGAGTTCGAGGCTGGGCTGGACCGATAGCCTCCAAAACAATACAGAGAAACCCTGTCTTGAAAAACCAAAAAAAAAAAAAAAAAAAAAAAAAGGTTTAATAAGGTAATATAACTTTTGCAATTGAGAGGTCATTCTCTGAGAATAACTAAATCTGTGGTAAGTTTTTGTGCTTTTTTTGTTTATTAGAATTGTCAAATGCCTTCAAATCTAGTACTGGTTTAAAAATCATGTGTCCACTCCAAGTAGTTAATTAAAAGCAAGTAATCATTAGTGTCCTTTAATAGTATAGACTTTAAGGACTCAAAACAGAGTCACTCCTTACTACTAAGGGTCAGCTTAAGAGGAAAATATGTGTTAGGGTTGGGAAAATTGTGTTAGATTCAATACATTGGAAGTAATAAAGTATATAGGTGGGTAGGGAAAAAATTGATAAGGCTAGAGAGAAAGGCTTAAATGTCTTCTGACTGCTGTACTTAACTTTTGGAAACTAGTTTGGTTTATTCATTTTTCTCCTTTTCATTGCAGGTCTATGTTTGCACAGTATGCCAAAATGTTTTCTGTGTGGACTGTGATGTTTTTGTTCATGACTGTCTCCACTGTTGTCCTGGCTGTATTCACAAGATCCCAACTCCTGCAGGTATTTGATTCCAGCATGTAGGACACACACTGAGTGGGTTAAGAAAGTTTGGAACTGTAAATAAAATGATTTTTTGACTAAACCGATTCTTTAATTAAAACATGAAAATACTTTGAAAGAAGAATCTGATTTAAGAAACTTTTTGCTATGAAAATATATTATTTTTATTTATATTCTATCAGAAATATGCATATAAATTCATTTACTTTTGTTTCCTAATGAGTCATATTTTCAGTCTAACTCATTATTACATATAAATTAGTTATAATGATTAAATTTATGTCATAGTCTGAATTCTTTTGTTTTTACATTTTTATTTACATGCTTGGGTGTGTGTGTATGAATTTTTTTTCATCATAGGACTCACAGGGGTCAGAAGGGCATCAGATCTCCTGGAATTGGAGTTGGAAGGCAGTTGTAAACTGCCCAATGTGGGTGCTGGGAACCGAACCTAGGTCCTGTGCAAGAGCAGCAACTGCTCTTAACCACTGAGCCATCTTTTCAGCTCCAAAGTATGATCTTTAAGAAAAAGAAAATCCATATGTGCTTTTGAGCACACCCATATGCATACACGTGCACGTGCATACATGTGTAATCAGAGTCATATCAAATGTACCAAAGTAATTGATGTTTCTCTCAGGATTCATATTCATCGAGTGGTTTTTTTTTTAAAGATTTATTTATTTATTATGAATACAACCTGCCTCCATGTATGTCTGCATGTCAGAAGAGAACACCAGATCTCATTATAGATGGTTTTGAGCGACCATGTGGTTGCTGGGAATTGAACTTAGGACCTCTGGAAGAACAGTCAGTGCTCTTAACCTCTGAGCCATCTCTCCAACCCCAAGTGGTTCTTTTTTAAAATTTATTTTATTTTATGTTCACTGGAGTTTTGTCTGCATGCATGTCAGTGTGAGGGTGTCAGAAGCCCTGGAATTGGAGTTACAGACAGGTGTGAGCTGCCATGTGGCAATTTGTGATGATTTGAAAGAAATTGGCCCCCAAAGGGAGTGGCACTATTAAGAGGTATGGCCTTGTTGAGTAGTTGTGGCCTTGTTGGAGGAAGTATGTCACTGTGAAGGCGGGCTTTGAGGTCTCATATATGCCCACTGAGACAGTTCACTTCCTGTTGCCTTTGGATGAAGATGTAAGGACTCTCAACTCCAGCACCATGTCTGCCTGCATGCTGCCTTGCTTCCCATCTGTGGTTATGGTGTCTCTTCACAGCTGTAGAAACCCTAACTAAGACAGAATTGAACCCAGGTTCTCTGAAGAACAGCCAGTGCCCTTAACTATTGAGTCATCTCTCCAGGCCCCCACCCTCCCCCCCTTTTTTAATTAAAGACACACTGCAAATAAAAGAAGAATCATCTACCTAAAATTAACCACACCCAAAGACTACACAACTCAGTGAACATGGTTACAATTTGTGTAGCTGGTTGGAACAGAAGTTGTGAAGCCTCACACTGTATTTTATACTTACCTATTGCAAATATAACCACAGAAACTCTTATAAAGAAAACATTTTATTGGGGCTGGCTTATAGTTCAGAGCTTTAGTCCATTCTCATCAAGATGGGAAGCACTTGCCCATCACTCAAACTGCAAAATCCATGACAGAACTACAAAGACAATTAGCTTTTTATCCTTTCACTCCTTGAATTCATTACCTTCTTTCAGTCCTTCCTTATTCTCTAGTATCTAGCCTTTCTTGCTCTCTTTTCTGCATGTTATACTGTCCCCACATATACATTATTTATAATATTATATAATACTTAATATTATACATTCAAAGTCTATCCATTTTTTCTGCAAATGTCATAATCACATTTTTCTTTAGAACTAAATAGTAGTCCATTATATGTATATCAAGTTTTCATTATCCATTCATATGTTGATGGGTGGTGAGGTATATGTGGGGAATGAAATAATGGAATCATAGGGTAGTTCTAGTTTTAATTTTTTGAGGACTATCCAAACTTATTTCCACAGTGGCTATATTAATTTGCATCCTTACCAATGGTGAATATGGCTTCCTTTTTCTCCACATCCTTTCCAACATTTGCTGTTAGACTTGATAGCTATTCTGATTTGGGTTAGGTGGTATCTCAAAGTAGTTTTAATTTGCATTTTCCTGATGACTAGGGATATTAAATATGTTCTAATAAAAATTGTTATGGCCACTTTTTTTGTGTTTTTTAAACTGTTATTTCAGTTCATTTGCCTATTTGTTGACTGGCAGTTTATTTCCTTGGTATTTTCTGCAATTCTTTGGGAATCCTGGAAGTTTGCCCCTGTATGAGGGGTAACTGGTGTTTTCTTCTGTTCTGTGGACTGTCATTTTGCTCTACTGATTGTTTTGTGTGGAACCAATTTCTGTTACAGGTAACCTGGTAACTGTCTTTTCTTCTTGTCAAAAGAGCTGTTAGTGACTTGTAAGACGTGCCTCTAGCACTATCAGTGTATTCTTTATCCTGTACTCCTGCCATGCTTAGAAGAAAGGCCTTGAATGTCTCCTCTTGAAGTCATTAGAGCTGGACATGGAGATCCCAGCTCTCGGGAGGCAGAGGCAGGAGGATCTCTGAGTTTGAGGCCAGTCTGGTCTACAGAGCGAGTTCCAGGACAACCAGGGCTGTTACATAGAGAAACCTGTATCAAAAAACAAAACAAAACAACGAAGAAGGAGGAGGAGGAGGAGAAGCAGAAGAAGAAAAAGCAGAAGAAGAAGGAGGAGGATGAGGAGGAAGAAAGAAAGAAAGAAAGAGAAAGAAAGAAACCAACCACACTCTTTTAGAGACTATGGCAGCTAGTTTTTGTTTAGTTTTTTTTTTTCTTAATTTATTCTTCTCTTATACATTATATCCTGACAGCAGTTTTCCTTCCCTCTACTCTGCCCAGTTCTCCTCTCCCCCAGATCACTCCTCCTTGGTTTCCCTTCAGAAAAGAGCAGGCCTCCCCGGGACATCAACTGAACGACAAACCAATTTACAGTAAGACTGGACACAAACCCTCATGTCAAGGCTGGACAAGGCAACCCAATAGGAAGACAAAGGTCCCAAGAGCAGGCCAAAGAGTCAGAGACACCTCCACTTGCACTATTGGAAGTCCCTGAGAATCCATTGAGTTTGAGGCCACACTGGTCTACAAAGTGAGTTCTAGGGCAGCTGGTGTTATTACACAGAGAAACCCTTTCTCAAAAAACCTTAAAAAACAAAACAAAAGCAAAAACTAGGAAATGAGAGATATTTATGTATTCACCCCCCCCCCAAAGAAATACTCATTTCTGAAAACAGTGTGGAGGTGCAACTCTTTAATCCCAGCCCTTGGAAGCAGAGACAGACAGATCTTTATGTGCTTGAGGCCAGCCTGGTCTATACGGTGAATTCCAGGACAGCTAGAGAGACAAACACAAAAGATCCATCTCCTCCTTCTGTTAGTTCTCTCTTGGGTTCTGTCATCTGTTTTAGCTGAGTAAGTTGTTTGAATTAATATCTGAACACAGGTGGGATTGTTTTGGGGGGGTTATTTTAAATAGTACTGGGCCTCATATATGCTAGTCAAGAGCTCTACCATTGACCTACATCCTCAGCATCCCCTCCCTTTATTTTAAAGAGATTCAATATGGACTAGGTGTGATGGTGCACTGCCTTAATCCCCACACTGGGAGACAGAGACAGAAGTCTGTGAATCTCTGGGTATTTGAGGCCAGCCTGGTTTGTATAGCAAGTCCAGGACAGCTGCAGCTATATACGAGATCCTGTTTCAAGAAAGGAAACCTCATAGGGAAGGAGACTCAGTCAGTTTTCCTTAAGGGTGTGACCCCGGGTAGGCCGACCACACTCCATTGGATGTCATCAAGAGTATATGGGCAGTACAAATTCGACCTAATGAATTATTTACTTCATTTTATGTGCATGGATGTTTTACCAGCATGTATGTCTGCACACCATGTGTGTGCAGGACCCCAGCAACTGGAAGAAGGCATTGGATCCCCTGGAACTGTAGTTACAGATTTTAGTTAGGCATCATGTGGGTCCTGGGATTTTAACCCCAGTCCTCTGGAAGAGCAGTAGTGCTCTTAACCACTGAACCATTTTCCCACCCTCATGAATTATTAAAATAAAAGACAAAGTTGAGGGTTAAGGAGGTGAGGATGGATCTGGGAGGAGTGGGTGGTGAATATGACCAAATTGCATTGTACGAAAATTTCAAAAGATTAATAAAAATATTTTTTAAGAGACAAAACATCACATTTGAAACAAAGATCAGCAGGGCTTGAGCTATCCACAGGAAAGAACAGTAAGCATTCTGTAAGATTGAATAACACTTATAACTTCCTCATGATTGCATGCCCGTGTTCAAGACTCTCTGTAATGGTTAGAGAATTCATATGAAAAAGTAGCTTCTTGATTGTGGAGAAAGAAGAAGCACATCCAACCCTTTATGGAAATAAATGTTGGTGGAGTCTTGGGTAGTGACAGTTTACAGGAAAAGACGGGACTCTTGAATTCCTGAGGCCTACATGAAGAAAGGAAGAAGGGCACATTGGCCAGTTAAACTTCTGGGGAGTACTCTTAATAGTCCTTTTGGGTCCAGTTCTGCAAGGACAGAGGACTCATTATTGTGTAGCTCTCCTCTGGGGAGAGAGATTACAAGATGCACTATGGACTCTTTCCCTGTGTGGCTTTCTGTTTGAGTCACACCTCACAGCAGGACCCTGGAAACTTCATTTGTCATGTATTAATTTACTCACCAGACGTAAGTCAAGAGTTGGAGCGTTAGGGTTGCACATAATGAAAAGAGGTTGATACAAGTCCCAGCCTCAGAGACCCTGAAACTTCTAGAGAGACCTGTAAAGGAGTTCATGTGAGAGTGCTAGCAGTCTGTCAAGGGTTATGGGAATGGAAGGGAGGAGCTGTACTGGGGTTGGGCTAAGTTGATGCAGTGGTAAATTCTTGAAGGTATTTATCACATCTAAAGGAGGTTGCCTCTGAGAAGCTGAGCAACGTAGAAGGGAAGTATCATTTTTCCTTTATAGCTGTTTGTGCTCTTTTGAATTTTATCTATAGGCATTTGATAAAAAATTACAAGTGTTACTTTATTTTTTTTTATTAAAGTGAGGAAAACTATGGTTTAGCTCTAGGCTGTTACTTTCTGTAAGCCCCTCCCTTATTTTTGGAATGTAGTTCCTCTGTTGGTATAGTTTAAACATTGACTTCCCCCAGCCTGGGGAAACCAACAGAAACAGCTGACCTGAACGAGGGGGAGGGAGCTCATGGACCCCAGACTGACAGCTTGGAAACCAGCCTAGGAGGGAACCAGACCCTCTGAATGCGGGTGTCAGTTAGGAGGCCTGGGCAGTCTATGGGGCCTCTGGTAATGGAACAGCATTTATCCCTAGTGTACAAATGGACATTGGGAGCCCATTCCCCATAGAGGGATACTCTCTCATTCTAGACGCATGGGGGAGGGCCTAGGCCCTGCCCCTAATGATGAATGAGACAGACTTTGATGATCCCTCAGGGAAGGTCTCACCCTTTCCATGGAGCAGAAGAGGGATGGGACGGGGATCAGCGGGGGTTACGGGAGGGTGGGAGGGAGAGGGAACTGGGATAGATATGTAAAATAAGATTGTTTCTAATTTAAATAAATAAATTGACTTCCCTCCATTTATGAGTCATGGTCTCCATATATTGCCCAGATTGATCTCAAACTCCTGGATACAAGTGATCCCCCCTGTCTTGGTCTTGTGAGTAGCTGGGATTATAGACATCTATCATTGAGCATGACTTCAAAGCATGGTAGTTTTTCTTTCTTTATGTGCATATTTGTGTGTGTGTGTGTGTGTGTGTGTGTGTGTGTGTGTGTGTGTGTGTGTGTGTGTGTGTGTGTGTGTAGGCCAGAGGGCAACCTTTGGTGTCATCCCCCAATAATTTCTTTGAATTAGTACACCTCCTTTGAAACAAGGTCTCTTATTGGCTTGGAAATCATTAATGAGGTTAGAATGGCTAAATAGTGATCTCAGGAATCCTGCTTTTGCCTTCTCAAAACTAGGGTTTTGCCTGTGTGCATCACACCCAGCAATTTTTATGTGAGTTTTGGACTTGGAACTGAGGTCCTTATGTGTATACTCTCTCTCTCTCTCTCTCTCTCTCTCTCTCTCTCTCTCTCTCTCTCTCTCTCTCTCTCTCTCTCTCTCTAAAACAATGTGAAAGTTCAAGGCTAGCCTGATCTACAAAATAAGTTTCAGGACAGCTAAGGCTACACAGAGGAAACTGTCTTTTTTAACATTTAAAACTAAAAATATATTTGCATTGTAAATATCTGGCAAAGACTGATCTAAAACAGAAAAATTACTGTAATCAATAAAAAAAAGGGCAAACTATTTTGAAATGAGTGAGAAGTCTGTGGCACTTGACTGGTGAAAGGATGGCTGTGCTGGTGTGTCGCAGTCAGGGATGGAGGCACCCCTTCTCTGCTACAGAGGCCCTCTGCTTTATTCAGTGCAGTGATGGGTCAGCTAACTGAAAACAAATCGCTGAATTGAAGGGTTTTCTCCCTATTGGATAAATATGGAGATAGCCATGAGAACGTGACAGCAAAGGAGCTTGGCACTGCCATGTGGTCACTGACAAAACCCAACAGAAGTCACATTTCAGGATATGACCAGTGAGCTGGATACAGATAGAAATGGCACCATTGACGTCCCAGAATTTTTACTGTGATGTCTAAACAAATGAAAGCTGTAGCTCACAAAAAGGAAATCTACGAAGTATCCCAAGCCTTAGACAAGGATGGGAGTCATTACATCAGCAAAACTGAGTCAGGTTAGGACTAAAGAAAGAACTAGCAGGTGAAGTCTGAATGATTGGAGGAACAGATAATGATGGAGACAGATGAGTCAACTGTGAAGAATTCAGACTGATGACCAAAAATTGGAGACCTTCTTTCAACCCTCCCCAGAAGAGTCAAATTAAGTCATTTACTTGAAATTTAAAAACAAAAAGAAAGACCTCATTCATTACTTCTGTTCCTGTATTAGCATTGAATGTCAAAGGTCTGTCTGCATTTACAATTTCCTTGTAATGGTGAGTAGTCCCTGCTCCCAAACTATACACAAAGTTTTATAATACAAATATTTGGAATAGCTGGATGACAAGGAAACACTTAGTGGGTGGACTCTATAAAGTTGTAGTTTTGTGCTGCAGAGTTGGCACATAGTAAATTAGGAGCACTTGCTATGCAAGCAAGAGGACTGAGTTCAGATCTCCAGCACCCACATTAATCCAGATGTTGCCCAAGCACTGGAGAATGGAGACAGGAAGGTCTCTGGTGCTTGCTGGCTGCTATCTCAGCTTTATGTTAGTGAGATAACCTGTATTGAGAGAATGAGAGAGAGAGAGAGTGAGAGACAGAGAGAGAGAGAGAGAGAGAGAGAGAGAGAGAGGGAAATCAGGATGCCCACCATCTTCCTCTAGCTTCCATACTTGTACAGTTATGAGTACCCCATGCACATGTACACTATGCCACACCTACACACACACCAAAAGGGTGATGATTTATTAATGATCAATACATAAGACTGACCAGTTTTTTGTGCATGTAACTTAGCTACTAAGTATTAAAGTGGAAATTTTCAGTGGAAAATATAAATAACATTTGTATTAAGGTGGAAAAACAAATGCAAAACATGTTTAGATGGATTTCAGTTCAGTTTGTTAGTATAAACAGTCATAGCTGGTTTACTAAAGACAGACACATTTAAAATTGGTTTACCTCAGGATGATATACAGAAAACGGTGAAGGATAAACTTTAGTTGATTTTATTAAGTTGATTACCATCTAACTAGATAATATAAGGTTAACATTTATAGCTTAGAATGGGATTACAAACTGAAATTTCTTGAGTAGCAGTATTGATGTTTGTACTGCAGTCCACAGTCACAATACAGTTCATCTTTGGGCCAGAAATTTGGCTATATATAGCAGCTCTAGAGTTCACCATGAGATAGGACTTTTGGCTCTAGGTCCCAGCACTGATCATTGTATGAAGGCTTTGGCCCAGAGCTTCTCAGAGGTCACTACAAGTACTGAAGTTCTGACCTTTGTACCAACCCGTTCAGTGTGAAACTGGCATTCTGACTCCAGCCCCTAGGAGATTTGCAGAATTAAGCCCTACACCTAGACACAGCATTTGGGAATTTATAATATTGAGAACGAAGGAAAGATTCTTAAAAAGCACCATAAAGGTGTAGGTGTGGTAACCCATGCCTATCTATAATGCTTGTGTGTGGGAGGTCGGGCCAGGGAGGTGAGAGTAGTGGGCAACCGGGGACACTGTTGGGGTGTCCACCAGAGAAGACTGCTTGGACATGGGTTTAAGCCAGTAGACAGTCTTTATGTGGTCCAGAGACTACACTTGGTGTTTGGGATTCCAGTGTAGTCCTGAGCCTTTTTGTTTGTTTGTTTTTCGAGACAGGGTTCCTCTGTGTAGCCCCAGCTGTCCTAGAATTTGCTCTGTAGACCAGGCTGTTCTCAAACTCACAAAGATCCACCTGCCTCTGCCTCAGATTAAAAGTATGTGCCACCATAGCCCTGCTTTTTTTTTTTTCTCCTCCTGAGCCTTTTTTAAGAAGAGATTTTAAGCATAAAATCCATGCTCTGGGTTGACATACTTCAGTTAACAAGAACAGTTAGAAGCAGAACTACAGAAGCTAAAACACAAGGTTAGTACATTTTGAAACTTAAAGAATTTATGGACTTTGTGGTGCTGTGTACTTGCTGAGTTTTACAGCATGATCGTCATTTCCATCAAGGAGTCAGCTGTACTAAAGTCTCAGTTCTACTGAGATCTGGGGCCTTGCTATATTCTCACTGGTTTTAGTGAATGAGTCAAATTGTGGACTCATCCTGTTGTTTGTTTGTTTGTTTTTGTTTTTTGAGACAGGGTTTCTCCATGTAGCCTTGACTGTCCTGGAACTCACTTAGTAGACCAGGCTGACCTCGATGGACTTACCC